GTACAGACTTCTCTTCTGAGCTTTGGACCTCTATATAGCTAACTACCTACTGAAAGTCTTCACTTGCATGTCCTACCTTAATACAATATAGCCCAAATTGAACTCTACCACTTTTCTCCAAAACCACTCCTCCTATATTTCCTATTATAGTCAGCCCTCTGTATCCACAGGTTTTGCAACCATGGAAATCAACCAACTGTAGGTCAAAAATATTTGCAAAAAAAAATTCCAGAAAGTTCCAAAGAGCAAAACTTGATTTTTCTGCACACTGGCAACTATTTACATTGCATTTATAACTACTTACACAGCATTTACATTGTATTGGGTACTGTAGGTAATCTAGAGATGATTTAAAGTATATGGGAGGATGTGTGTAGGTTATATGCAAATACTATGCCATTTTATATAAGTGACTTGAACATCTGCAGATTTTGGTATCCATGGGAGTCATGGAACCAATCCCCTGCAGATATCAAGGGACAACTATATTAGTCAATGACACCACCAGTTTGCCCAAGTCAGAATTCTGAATGTCATCTGACTTATCCATCCTTCCAAAAAACGGAAATTTCTTTATTTTTAATTACAAAAGTATTTCATGCTCAATTAAAAAAATTCAAACACCTAAGTACAAAAAAGTATAAAGTGAAGATTATCCTCCACCTCTCCCTTTAGTAATTTTACTCTATGTCAACAATTGAACAAAATAGTGACTGAGCCCTTTAGATGAGGGATGTGCTCTCCAGTTCATCCATTCCTACTGAGCCTGTTTTACTCATTTATATAAATGTTACCTGTCTGGCCTCCACAGGATCTGAATTTGCAACTCCTTCTGTAAATACTGTTGAGTGATCTAGTTTTCAAGAGTACATATCTTGGATATATTTTGATATCAGCATATGTAAGGTACAGCTTTATTTGTTAGCTAATCTACCATTCTGATGGCTAAACAGTATTCCATCATATAGATGTACTGTAATTTAACTAATTTCCTATTGTTGGATATTTAGAATGTTCCTATATATCTTTGCAATTACAAACAATGTTGCAATTACAAACATATGTACATTTGTACGTATGCCTTTGCAAACCTGTGTGGAGTATTCCTTTGAGATGAACTTGCTTAGTCAAAGGGAATACACATTTATAGTCCTCTAAAGAGTTTGTACTGATTTATGTTCTCACCAAGAGCATAAGAGTACTTGGCATCATTTTGAATTCTCCCTGTCCTTTACCCATACCCTCAACTTCCAACCATTTATGAAGGTATCAATCCTGCTTCCTCAATATCTCTACCATCTGTCCCCATCTTTCCATTCTTATTGCTACTTAACTTAGTTCAAGCTCTCAGTACTTTTAACTTGGACTGTTGCCAATAGTTTCTTTACTGGTCTCCATATTTCATTTTCCCTCCTATCTATTCTTCAGATAGCTTCCAGAACGATCTTACTAAAATACCTGTTATGATGGTCTGTCCTTTTAAAGGCATACTAGGCCTTTCATGACTTGGCCCCATCTAACTTTAAAAGCTAATCTCTTAACACCAAAACTAGCTCCCACTTTGCACCCTAGCCAAACTCAACTATTTGCACTGCCCTATCCAAGGCACTCTTATCTTTTTAGCATTTGCACTATCTACCTGGAACTTCTGCCCCACCCTTCTCCACTTGACTATTTGTTTGGCACAGCAGGTGCTCACTAAAGAATTAGCTACAATAATCGTCATCCTTCAAAATTTAGCTCAAAAATCACCTCCTCGTGAAAGAGTTTCCTGCCTTCCATACCAGTAGAAAACTTGGAAAACATACAAAAGATGAAAATGAAGACAACCGTAACCTTACATCTCAGAAATAATCACTTATCACCAGCACGTCTTTTTTCTATGTATCTTTTCTTAAAAGCATAACTGAGATGACATAAAGTTATGTTCTGCTTTTCTCACTTAACATTCTAAGCACTTTTGTCATTAGCTTGTTTTTTTTTTTAACACCTTTATTGGAGTATAATTGCTTTACAATGGTGTTTCTGTTTTATAACAAAAAAATATGGAACGCTTCATGAATTTGCGTGTCATCCTTGTGCACAGGCCATGCTAATCTTCACTGTATCGCTCCAATTTTAGTATATGTGCTGCCGAAGTGAGCACTGTCATTAGTTTTTAAAATAAGCTTTCAATCTTTACACAGCAATCCATCATACAGGTGGCACAATAACTAGTCATTCCCTTTACATTAACCATTCAGGTTATTTCTAATTAATATAAATGACATTATCATGAACAGCTTTGTCTGTACCTCTGATTAGGATAGATTATCCTACCACATGCTAAGCATTTACATGCATTATTTTATTTACTCCTCACGATAGCCCTCTGAGGAGGGTATTATTATTTTCCCCATTTTACAGAAAAGAAAGCAGAGTCTAAGTTACTTGTCCAAAGTCACAGTGCTATGAAGTGGTGGGGCCAATATTCAAATTCAAGTCTACCTGACTATAAAGTCTGTTCACTTAACAATTTTTAGGTCTCAATGCTGTCAAAGAGCTTTCTAAAAATGTCTAACAATGTTACACTGCCAACAGCACATTTGAGAGTACCTGTCTCACTAGCATTTTGAATACTTCCATTAAAAAAGAAATTGAAAAAAAAAAGAGAAATTGAGCTCATCTTAATAGGCAAAAAAATGGTCTGTTTCAATTTGCATTTCTTTGATTACTAGGTACAACTGAATATTCATTTTCATTTGGTATTTAATTTTTGTCTTCTGTGATTTGTCCATCTGCCCTCTTCTCATTTCAGTTAGCATCTTCTGGGTTTTTCTTGTTGCCTTACATAAGCTCCTCATAAATCTGCCCTCTATCTTCAGGCAGCCATTACCAGGCCAAGCATCCTCTCTGTAACAGTCTTGCTTATTACTTGTTATACTCATTTATAGACACCTGTGAGCCTGCCAACTTCTATTACCAGAATTTTGGCTGATTAGCTTTAGGTGTTTTCAGGAGACAATAATGGAGAAATAAATGACCTCACAGAGGTCATTTCCACTTTCCAATCAGCAATAAGAAGGGCACAAGGGACAACGCAGATTCTTTTAATGCAACCCAGATGGAACAAAAATGGAAGGCTCATCTCCTACAACTTCTCTTTTTTTTAAAAAATTTATTTTATTTATTTATTTTTGGCTGTGTTGGATCTTCGCTGCTGCGCATGGGCTTTTCTCTAGTTGCGGCGAGTGGGGGCTACTCTTCATTGCGGTGTGCGGGCTTCTCATTGCAGTGGCTTCTCTTGTTGCGGAGCATGGGCTCTAGGCGTGTGGGCTTCAGTAGTTGTGGCTCACGGGCTCTAGAGCACAGGCTCAGTAGTTGTGGCGCACGGGCTTAGTTGCTCCGCGGCATGTGGGATCTTCCCGGACCAGGGATCGAACCCATGTCCCCTGCGTTGGCAGGCAGATTCTCAACCACTGTGCCACCAGGGAAGCCCTCCTACCACTTCTCTTAATGAAATACATAGGTTCTAGTCAAGTACAGTTCCTTGAACTTACCCTGTTCTTTCATTCCTCCATGATATTCTATTCTCTAAACCCAGAATACCCATTTCCTCATCTGTCGTTCTGGTTGTCCCCTCCGTCACCTCCTCTTTCTAATTCTCTGTCCCTTCTATCTGGCAAACTTAACAGCCACACTACTTGGGTTCCTGAATATTGTGGAGAAAAGTCATACAATCAGGTGGATTTTTAGCTGAGACCTCAGTATGCTAGGCAATTCTCTCAAATGCCCTTAGCTCCCTCTTCTGTTTTGCTTCAGGAGTTATTTGGGATTGTCATTTTGCTGCCTAATTCTTTCTATGTTTTTCCATTTAGGATAATGTAAAAGCTCTTAAGTATGACATATGGCATACACTAGGCCCTCTTATGATCTGACACCTGTCTACTTCTCTATATATAACCAGTCATCCATCAACATGTACACTTAACTGCAACCCCAGTAACTTGTTTCTTAAACCCAAGATGCAATTTCAGGTCTCTGTGCCTTCATATATTGCTGTTCTCCCTGCCTAGAACGCTTTCTCCTCATTTTTTGGTTAGCAAACTCCACTGATCCTTTAGAACTCAGCTTAAGAAAACTCTCTTCCAGAAAGCTTCCTCTAATCCCACTCTGACTTAGATATCCTGTTCCTGTTTTCCTTTGGCACTCTGTGAATGCATCTAGCATAATACTTAAGTTCTGTAATTTTTCTTTTCTGTTTTCCCAACTAAACTATAACCAATTTGGAGGCAGAGAACATATCTAATTTGACTTTATATTTGTAACATCTATCAGTGCCAGCACATATTAGGTGCTCAACTGATGTTTACTTAAGTGAGCCATTCAAAACTTAACTGTATTAACTTGTTTATGAAGTCTTCCCTAACCCTTAGGTGAAGGTGTTCCTTCCTCTCCTCTAGGGCACTTTGTACATCCTTCTAATATAGCCCTTGCCAAGCAGCATTTTAACTGTTTCTCTTCATTGACCTGAGGACAATGATGTCTTTCCCACTGGTAGATTTAAGTAGCTAGCACAGCACCTGAGATACATTATGTAATCATTTCATATATTGAGCAAAAACTCCATGCTCTGAGGAAGCACACCATGGTCTATATTTAACACATTTCCCTAAGCTCCATCTAAGGGCCTGGGGCATAGGTGAGTTTTTACATCTCATGGAAAGCAGTGATGGCCCAAAGTATATCCATTTGATTTTTATTCTCATCTCATTTTTCGGTGCTTTCCAAAGTTTAGAAAATAAATATACGCTGTTTTTTCATCATTAAACGTTATTAGCAAACTTTACAGAACACACTAAAGTACGTGCCTGTTTTAAAAAAAAATGCAAAGTAAGTCACATGACTGATTCTGCTGACTATCATGGCTCAAGGCTGCTTTATGCACTTAAATTTTAATAATGCTAACTAATGTTGGATGGATATATTGACGGAAAGAGAAAAAAAGGAGAAATACCCACCATTGTATTTAACACTGTTGGCCAGAATAAGGTTGACATCGTCTAGAAAGCTCTCCCGACTCTGATACTTGTGCTTGGAGATATTCTGTGATTAAAAGAATCAGGAACTCAGATACACAAAGTTACTTGATTCCCAAAAGACATTTTAGACCAAATCACTCACCTTACGTATGGTCTCTAAATCCATTGGACTGACAATCACTTTGTAATAATCTGGAACAAACTTCTTATTAACTGGGTGATGAAATGGCCAAGACTAGCAAAAAGAAAGCATGAGAAATTAAATGGAAACCATTCTTTATACCAGAGATTCTCAAACTTCACTGGGTCACAAATATTCTTAAGACTCCGACAAAAGCTATGAACCCTTTTCCCAGAAAGACACATAATCATACAAAACTCTGCATATAATTTAAGGGGATTCCTTTATGGGTTCATGTGCCCTGGTAGGGTAAGGACCCCTGCTCTATATTCACAATTGAAATCTCTCATTCCCTTGTCCTATGCAGAAGGTTCATAGCAGGGGTCCCCAACCCTTGGGCCATGGACCGGTACCAGCCCGTGGCCTGTTAGGAACCGGGCCGCACAGCAAGAGGTGAGTGGTGGGCAGGTGAGCGAGCGAGTGAAGCTTCATCTGTATTTACAGCCGTTCCCCATCGCTCCCGTTACCGCCTGAGCTCGACTCCTGTCAGATCAGCAGTGGCATTAGATTCTCACAGGAGTGTGAACCCTACTGGGAACTGGCGCATGTGAGGAATCTAGGTTGCGTGCTCCTTATGAGAATCTAATGCCTGATGATCTGAGGTGGAGCTGAGGTGATAATGCTAGCGCTGGGGAGTGGCTGCAAATACAGATTAGCAGATGATAATTAATGATAATTAGCAGAGAGGCTTGACTGCACAAGAGACCATAATAAATCAATTGCTTGCAGACGCATATCAAAACCCTATCAGTGAGTGGCAAGTGAAAACAAGCTCAGGCCTCCCACTGATTCTGCATCATGGTGAGTTGTGTAATTATTTCATTATACATTACAATGTAATAATAATAGAAATAAAGTGCACAATAAATGTAATGCGCTTGAATCATCCTGAAACCATCCCCCACCCACCATCCGTGGAAAAATTGTCTTCCACGAAACCGGTCCCTGGTGCCAAAAAGATTGGGGACCGCTGGTTTATAGCGTTACTGCATACACAACATATGCCTACAACACAAAAGGAAACTCAGTTCAGAATTTCCTAGGGAGGATCATTACAAAATGATACAAAGAATCAACATGGTACCCCTGCCATAAAGTTGCAAGACAAAAAATGAAACAACAAACGCGGGACTTGGGTGGTGGCACAGTGGTTAAGAATCTGCCTGCCAATGCAGGGGACGTGGGTTCGAGCCCTGGTCTGGGAAGATCCCACATGCCTCGGAGCAACTAAGCCCGTGAGCCACAAGTACCGAGCCTGCACTCTAGGGCCTGCGTGCCACAACTACTGAGCCCGTGTGCCGCAACTACTGAAGCCCACACGCCTAGAGCCTGTGCTCCACAAGAGAAGCCACTGCAATGAGAAGCCTGCACACTGCAACGAAGAGTAGCCCCCGCTCACCGCAACTAGAGAAAGCCGCGCGCAGCAGCAAAGACCCAACGTAGCCAAAAATAAATAAATTAAAAAAAAGAAAAAAAAAAAGACAACGAATGCTGGGTAATTATCAAACTCTCATTTGTTAAGAAGCACCTCTAAATCCAAAACCTCCCATTAGCTGGCATCCTAACTTCTCTCCAGGGCTATTCAGGAGCATTAAAATACTGAATGTCAACAACAGGTATAAAGAACCTCTCTATATCACAGATTCCTGGCCTCTTTGATTTCAATGATAATGCACTCATAGAGCAAAATGGTTTCTTTTTAAAATTATATACCAGTTTGAATTGACAAACACCACACTCCAGACTCCCCAACATACACATGCACACATCCTTTCACCCTTTCCTCTCCCCTGTACTATCCTCACAATATTTAACACACAGACCACTTACATCTGGAACTGCCATCATTTTCTGGGTGACAATGTTGTCCAGAATAAAAGAAAATGCCACTTGGTCATCATCATCCAGCAAGGGGTTGATAGCTTTCTCCAAACGAGCCAATTTGTCTTCTTTCTAACATGAAACAAAGCAAAGGAAAGGCAGAGGTTTCCCTGAGGTATAATCACCATAGAGTATTAAGGATAATTTAAGGTTCAGTGGTCTATTGCCCTTGTCCCAAAAAGTCTAACTTTGAACTGTGGCCTATTCAGTTCCAGACAAAAAGTCCAGATAAGAGAAATAATATTCCAATAAAAGGATCAAAAGAGATGTACTGACCAATTCCTCTAGGTATTCTATCTTCTATTCTTGTAGATCTAGCTTAGCTCCCACAACAAAAACATCTTCACCAAATTAAGTTTTAGTATCAAACTGCTTTTGCCGTAAAACTACTGCTGAAAACACTGAACACATTATTGTTGAGTAGTGACTTTTGTGTAAGGGAATCTAACCCAACAAATTCATTTTAGATTGTACTAGGAAAAAGTTTGTGTGTCAACTGCTCCATATCCTCATACACTAAAACTCAGTCTTTTGTTTTTTTAAGTCTTTAAATTTTAGTCTTTCTAAGGGAGATATGCAGTGTTAACTAATCAGTTTAAATTTGTATCTCCCCAATGATCAATCAAGTTGAGAATCTTTTCATGTTTACCGGCCATTTGGTTATCCTCTTTTATGAAATTTCTACTGCAATATTAACATCATCATACTTATATTTTTTAAGCCTATTAAGGTACCATTTTTTTTTGTTGTTAAGAAGATGAAATACAGATAGATTATCTTTTAAAAATTAAAATTTCTCCCTGCCAAAACAGTCTCTTAGCTTCAGCTGACTTCCTGGGAAGTCAATTTCCTAAGAGTTATATGGATTTTATATTTTAATCGTAGCCCTACTATTTAATAGCCATGATGCCCAAGACAAATTAGTTTCTTCTGTGGACCTCAGTCTTTCCATCTACAAGAGGGAGGGATTAGATTACATGATTTCTAAGGTCCCCTCCAGACTCTAACGTACAAAAGACCTGCTACTCCCTCATTTCTCTACTCTTCCTTCTGTTACATTCCCTACTTCCTCAATACTGGTACCTGCCAGCTTCATTCTACTGCTTTTCTCTCATTTTAAATGTCTTACCTCTTTAAGTTTTTCATCACAGAGATCCAGCATGGATTGAGAGATCTGGGTCAATGAGTGCTTCGGTCCTAGATTACAGAGGAACAATAAAAGAGATGGGACCACTAAAAAGGGGAGGCAAGGGCTTCCCTGGTGGCGCAGTGGCTGAGAGTCCGCCTGCCGATGCAGGGGACACGGGTTTGTGCCCCAGTCCAGGAAGATCCCACATGCCGCGGAGCGGCTAAGCCCGTGAGCCATGGCCGCTGAGCCTGCGCGTCCGCGACGGGAGAGGCCACAACAGTGAGAGGCCCGCGTACCGCAAAAAAAAAAAAAGGGAGGCAAGAGCTACCAACACCTCTCCAGACTTTTAACTCATTTACTTAATCACCTAATATGTGCCAGGCACCAGCCTAGCTGCTGGGTTAGACAGATGTATCAGTCTTATCTCCATTTTTCAGTGCCTAACACATAGCAGATGCACAATATGGATGAATAAACTAATTTTAACTCTCTCCCTTATTTGTGTATATCCATACATAGCGGTGCTACTGTCGATACTGCTGCCTTTAATACCTTGAAAATAAAACTATGGATGGGGAATGACAATTTGTTTAAGGATGGCTAAGGAGACCAATGAATGATTTATAATCTTTCCAGACTCAGCATACAAAATTTGTGACTGCAATTTTTGTTTGCAGAACTCATGGTTTGTGATGTCCATCCAACATACGGCTAGTCCAAAGCCTTTGTCAGAAAAGAATCTCCACCCCACCCCAGACTATTACTTTAATTTCCCTGAAATCCGTAACAAGAGCTTCACAGAATCCTCCAACTACCTCCTACATTCCCTGCTTATGGCTACCCTAATTTAAGCTCATCATAGGGATAGTGAAAACATTTTCATGTAAAAAAACAGTAATTCTGGCTACTTCCTTTCAGTATACTTTCTTATCTTCCTCTGTCAATTCTTTCGTGTAAGTGCTCCCCAGAGCCTAAAACTCAGCTCTTTTCTCAACTACTTATTAATTAATTAACAGGGATTTGTTTATTCATTCAACAACTGTTTAATGACTGTCTGTGATGTGTTCAATGTTGAGAATAAAGGGAAAATAAGACATAGTCCCTACCTTAGAGAGTTCTTGGTTTAGTTAAAGAAAATGATATGAAAATAAAACAATGCACGACAGGGTGTAAGTGCTTGAAGTATCTACAGATGAAATGATATGACGTCTGGAAATACAGGCTAAACAATGAACAAGACTGGCCATATATGCTGGTGATTGTGGAACTGGGTGAATAGGTGCACTGAAGTTTATTTACTTTCTCTCTACTTCTGTATATGCCTAACAATTTCCATAATAAAGTTTTTAAAAAGTGAGTGTAAGTGCAAATAGAGGAATACACTGATTACTATGAACTGTGGAGGGGTTGCAACGTGTTTTAAGTTGTTTTACAACAATTAAATCTGAGTACCAGGGAGGAGTAGGGAAGGCTTGTTGTGAATGACAATCGAGCAGTGTTTTTAAACAAGAGAAGTCTATCAGGTAGACAGTAGGGTTGAAAAACATTCCAGAGGGAGGAAAAAGTATGCAAAAACATGTTAAGTAAGCAAATTCATGGAAACATGAAACAATACATTTCACAACAGGAATCACAAGTAGTTTGGTACAACTGGAATACAGGTAGGTATGTGTGGAGGAGAAATAGGAAATGGAACTTGGAAAGGCAAGAAGGGACATATTACAATGGTCTCACAGGAGATACAAAGGCACTGGAGATTTTAAGCTAGAGAGTAATTTTTCAAATTTGTGTATCAGAAAAAAATACCGTCAACAGTGTGAAGAATTAATAAGGCAAGCAGCAGAGAGAAAGTCTGGAAGCTATTGCAAGAGGTCAAACAAGAGACGACAAGGGCTTCAACTAAGATAGTAGCAATGGAGACCAAAAGGAAGGGGATGTATTCCAGCAAAATTTAGAAGGTACAATTTATACAACTTAGTGATCTATGAGTATAGGGCAGGGAGAGTGGAATAACAACGGCCAACATTTCTAGGTTGTACAACTAGATGGACAGCAATACTAGCAATGGTGGCACTACTACTATTATCACTATTATCAGCATTTGGGTATGAGGAAGAAGGAAGATTGAGTTAGAGGGGGATGTGGAGAAAGTCAGAACTTAAATTTCCAAATTTTTACGAACACTGCCACCTAAATGACCCACAAGTACCTCAAGCTCTGTATTTCCAAAGTCAACTCTTACCTTCCCATTCCCCTTCCAAGCTGATTTTTGTTTATGCATTTATCCTCGTCACCTTGAATGACAGTTGGGACTAATAAATTTATTATTCCTTTGTATGTGTCTGGTACTCTGCTACGCCCTCGGAATACAAAGATGAATAGTCTCTCTAGGAGGTCACAAAGTGATGGGAAAATCAGATATATAAACAATTATATATAACACATAAGAGCTATAAAACTTGATTTAATTGTGTTAGGGGGGCACAGAGGATTGAAAAAATGGGTACTTTGGGCAATCTGAATAAGTCTTTATGAAGAGATGATATGAGTTGGTCTGGAAATATGAATGGAAATGGAATAAAGGACACTCTGCAGACAAAGGGCAAAGACTGTACAAAGACATGAAGACATGGTATAGGATATTTAGTTAAATACAACACTGAGCATAGCCAGAGTCTCTATCTATAGTAGGTCTGGGAGCCAGTCTCTATAGATGAGACTAGATAAATGGGTCAGGCCTGCTTGTGAAACGTATTAAAATCTAGGTACTACTATTGTCCCATGTGTACAGGTAAGAAAACTGAAGAGGCTATGAGAGGTTAAATAAGTTGTCTAGGGGCTTCTCTGGTGGCACAGTTGTTGACAGTCCACCTGCCAATGCAGGAGGACCCTGCGTGCCGCGGAGCAGCTGGGCCCATGAGCCATGACTGCTGAGCCTGCGCGTCCGGAGCCTGTGCTCCGCAACGGGAGAGGCCACAACAGTGAGAGGCCCGCGTACCGCGCAAAAAAAAAAAAAAAAAAAAAAAAGTTGTCTAAGGTAACTCAATTAGTAAGTGGCAGAGCCATAGTTCATACTCTATCTGTAACCTTAATCCCTACACTAAGGATATAACTGGAAACCAGAAAACTTTATCCTCTACATGCAGAAGCTATACTGTTTCTTGAACTCTTTAAGACTCAGAAAACAGATTTCTTCCTCCTTGCCTTTCCAGCTTTTGAGCAAAATAGACATATAACAGCCCCTATAACAGATTTGTAGACCAAATCAAAGACAAATATAGTCAACAAGCATATACTCTGCGGGGGTTCCATCCACACTGAATGCCTCTCCCTTCTATTTACTTATAGGCTCACTCCTATCTCTCACTGCTTCTCATGCAATTGTTTCATTTCAACAGATTCTCTAAATTCTCTAGAGGATATTAAAAAGTGGGAATAAAAAGAAGCAATACTTATTAAATGATTAAAATGTACATTACCTGATTTTCATAACCCCAAAATGCACTAATACATTGTAGGTCCTTTCAGTCAGTCCAATCTAGTCTAAATTTAGGACTAGTAAGGGATAAATAAGGATCTGAAAGGTGACCTTTGCAGTCAAAGAACAGGTGATTCTTACCATTGTAGGTTGCACTATTTTTCACAATTAGCTCCAAATGCTCTCTGAACTCTTCCCGAGATGGGTAGAGGCGTTTACGCACATTTTCACGGAGCGTTTGTAAGTCCATTGGTCGGGTGATAATTTTGTAGTAGTCCTTTACAACCTTTGCATTGACTGGAGTGTGGAAAGGGTACGTCTGTGCAAACAAGAGCCAGCACCATCCATGAGCAAAGAACAACTGCCAGACCAATTCTTCAAGACTCTCTCACATCTTACCTCTACCTGGCCGTCAACTCTCAAAGGAATCTCTAGATGGAGCAGGTCTGTTTCCTCTACTAAACTGTTAAAAAATAAATGAAAAACTATATCCCAAAGAATCAGGAGTTCCAGGTTCCTAGGACTATACTCTACTGCCATCTATCTGAAATCACACAGAACAGCCTTGCCATCCATACTGTAGATCTGAATGAAATGAACTCACATTTGGAAGATCTCTCATGTCATTGATGATAGACTCCAAAATGGATGACAATGTCACCATGGGGTCTGTCCGGCGCCGGTGAATGGACTTATGAGGTCTCTAAGGAAAAACAAGAAATCAGAATGCTTCTTTAGATTAAAAAAAAAAAATAAACGCCAATACATATATAGTTTGGAAACGCTGTAATGCACAGTACACGTAATTCTCAGGGCAAGGCCAAAGGGAGAATCTAAGGCTATATCAGGGCCATGGCTTAGAGGGCTGGGGGAATTAATGAGAACCCTATGTGGTCAGAAAGCAGGCAATGCCAATACTCACATTTAAATAGTCACAGTGAACAGTGGTTCCAACTCGCCGTTTCTTCTTGGGAGGAAGTTGCTGCTTAGGGAACTTGAGAACCAGAGATTTTCTGCGAACCTCATCTGCACTGCAATCAATAACACTTTCATAGCGTGCAGTCCCTATTTCTAGTCCCCAGAAAAAAAGCAACTACAATGAAAAAGTCCAAAGTACCTGAGCATGAGCCTGGGGAGGAAAAAGCCAAACCAAAGGCCAGACATCCACATTCTAAGGCTCAGATCAGGGAAGGCCTCATAGGATCTCCAAATTAATAAAAAACTAGGCAAGCCACAACTTCACCTCAGTTTCCTATTTGGATGATAAGGGAACTAGGCTAAAGGAATTTCAAGAATCCTCCCAGCTCCAACATTCTATCTTTGGGTTAAAAGGCTAGGAAATTTAACTTACTCAGAATAGAAACAAGGAAGAAATTAAAGCAGGTTTGAAAAGAAAAACTAATTTGAGTCTCCCTCAATCATTAAAAGCCCATCCACCTTTTTCCTTTCCATCATATGGGATCAAGTTACTACATTTTCCTTTTCTAATGTGCTTCAAAACATGACTACTATAGATATTGATAAATTAAATTAACGAGGATGGAAAACAACCCTCAAATCTAAACAGAAACAGAAACAAATGAATATAACTGCATATCAAATTAATTAAAAATTATATACTCAAAAAAGAATTCAAATATATTTTGAATAGAATACCCTGACTGTACAACTTCAGTGGCATATAATCCAAGGACAACTAATTACAGAAAACACCTTGAACCTACTGTACAGATTTGCTGTTGGTAGTAGTATTGGTATTGTAATTCTCAAACTATTTTGTAAATATCATAGGACAGAGCAAGATGTTGGGAACCAAAGAAAGGATACAAATATGAAACGGAGGAAGATGAGGAAGAAGCTGTAGATACAATTTGAATTGGAGGTATTGATATGAAGTTGTGATTTACAATATATGTATATTTCCCAGTTCTGTCTACTAAGAGCCTAGAAGCAATGACATCTCAGTGGCAATGAGTATACCTAACACCTAGATATTGTTTTCTAAATACCATTCTCCAATAAAAGGAACCAGGAATCCCTGAGAAATGGCTGATTCTGGGTCTGGGACAGGGAAATTTCAAGGATAGCCTGGAACATCCCGTGCCAAAAAGCAAAGAAGTTTTCAAAATTTATAGGGTCATTTCCAAAGGACACAGGTCAGGCCTGAAGGGATCAAATTTGGGACAATCTGGCCATCAAAATTAATAATGATGTTAATAGATCTTAATATATTAAAGTTTCCAAAAGAAAGAATTTCAGAATCTATAGTAATACCCAAACAAAAAAGGGAGGGGGAAGCTCTTTACAGAATGCCAGTTAACGGAGAAAGAATGAAAAGAATTAGAAAAACCACCATTAAGCAACCCCCAATGTAATAACTCAGTTATCAGGTAATGATCATCAATGGATGTTAAAACTATCGAGAGAAAGATTGTTAGCAGGATAGACCGCAGTCCCTAGTGACATCTTGAAGGCAGCCTCTGAGCAGAGGACCCAGCTGAGCTGTGCCCAGACTCCTGACCCACAGAAACTGTGAGATAATAAATGTATGTTGTTTCAAGCTACTGGAAAAAAAAAAAAAAAAAAAGGGACTTCCCTGGTGGTGCAGTGGTTAAGAATCCGTCTGTCAATGCAGGGGACATGGGTTTGATCCCTGGTCCGGGAAGATCCCACATGCTGCAGAGCAACTAAGCCCAAGAGCCACAACTACTACTGAGCCTGCAAGCCACAACTATTGAAGCCCACGCACCCTAGAGCCCATGTGCCACAACTACTGAGCCCGCATGCTGCAACTACTGAAGCCTGCAATGCCTAGAGCCTGTGCTCCGCAATAGGAGAAGCCACTGCAACAAGAAGCCCACGCACCGCGATGAAGAGTAGCCCCCACTTGCCACAACTAGAGAAAGCCCACGTGCAGCAATGGAGACACAACACAGTCAAAAAAAAAATTTTTAAAAAACCAGGATATTCACCCACATATTAATTACAATGGAAAAAACATACCTTTATTATAGAGGAATCTGAGGATTAACACTTTAATAAGATAATCAAAATACTGAGAAAACCTGACGTTATCTGCTTCCTGATGTGGTGCAGTAAGTACATAATACCACCTATGTTGTAATCTTGCCAAAGACATTTACTCTGAATATAATCAATGTGAAAACAGACAAATCCAGAATGTGGAATGTTTTATGAGACCATTGGCCTGGACTCTTCAAAACATTCAAAGTCATGAAAACCAAAAAGGTGGGGAGGACAGTTGTAGATTAAGAGAAACTCAAAATACTTAATGTTTGAACTGGAATTGGATCCTGAAGGGGGGTGAGGGGCAGGCAATAAAGGACATTGACACAGCTGGCGAAATTTGAATAAGGACTGAATATTAGATCCTATTGAATTAATGTTAATTTTCTTACGTGTAGTAATAGTATCATGTTTGCCAATCTTTATTCTTTATGTGTGCTAAAGAATCTGAGTGAAATGCCATGATGCCTAAAACTTCCAAATGTTTCAGCAGAAAGAAAATGTTTTAGATATATAAAGATGAAACAAATGTGACAAATGTTAACAGCTGGTGAATTAAGAGGAACAACAAACTTTATTATTCCTTCAGCTTTTCTGTAGGTTTGCAATTTTCAAACTAAAACTTTAGGGGAGAATTTGTTTTATTTAAAAACTTTTCTACTTGATTATCAAATTCTCTGAGAGCAAGAGACAGATAAGTATAAGCATAGCTTGTCTCCTTAATCTTTTTGGATGGTCCATTATCAGAACATCTGAGATCAGGGACCTTACAAATATTACAAGTGCCTGGAAGTAGAATGGGAAGAGCATCTACTATATGCCAGGCACTATACTACATTTTTTATACAGTCTCCCTCATTTTACCTTCATAGCTACCGTTGTAAGGGTGATTTTATTTTCTAAATAAGGAAACTAAGACTCAGAAAAGTTAGGTAGCATGCCCAAGGGCAAGTGGTGGAGCTTAATGAGTGCTTCACAAGACTAATTTTCATTACTGGCAACAATTAGTGAGGAAAATCCATCAAAGTTCCTATGTCCTCAGTTCCACTTCAGAGAACACATCACATCCACCCCTGCCACCCATCGATACCACCAACAGATCTCTCCCACCTGCTATCTCTTACCTCTCAATTAGTTGCTTCCCTAAGACAATCTTGGTCCCTTCAACCTTGATAAGTTCTTCATTATCATTATGAATGACTGTCTTTTCCAACTCTTCCTCCTGCTCCTCTGTCATGGCAACAGGGTTGGAAGGTGGGGCATTTGTTTGATAATAAAGGGGGCAGAATTTGTTTGTTCTCATGTGCCCAATGGCACCACAAGCCCCACATTTCAGCTGCAAAAGGAAAAGTATCAACATGTCAGAGGTAAGCAGGCTTCTTCCTGTTAGCTTTAAGAAATATATAGAAGGTAGAAAAGAAACAAAGGCAGGCCCAGAAATTTTATTCTAACAGAATCGTTATACGCCTTTCAACCAGAAGGCACTAGACAAAAGTGCATGTATGGAAATGACACATTAAAAACAAAACGAAATCCAGAGACTGAACATTACTTTAAAAACCAAGTGAAGGAGAAAAGAGAGAGGATTTCTACCCCCAATTTAAGTTGTAAACTACGAAAATATTAAATATGCATAAGAAAGGCCACTGGAAGCCCAAGGCTGCATTCAGCTTCACAGGCAGCCAGCATGGGTGTATTCCCAGCCTCAAGGAAAAGGCTTAATAATACCAAGTCTCCAGGAATTCCCTGGTGGTCCAGTGGTTAGGACTCCGTGCTCTCATTGCAGAGGGCCTGGGTTCAACCCCTGGTCAGGGAACTAAGATCCCACAAGCCGTGCAGTGTGGCAAAAAACCCCAAAAAACAAAAAGCCGAAGTCTCCATCTTACTTTTGCTACTGCCCTCAGTTTCATCTGTAAAATGGATCAATACCGTATCATACAATACTTATATGATATCACATGGAAGAAAGAAACATTAAAATACTTAATGACCTCAGTACGTGTTAACAGCAGTTCCCATTTGTTGAGAATTTTAGTTTATAAAGTGCTTCCCATGCATTATATACTTTAATACAACACCAGTGTGAGATAGGTATCATTTTATAGAAGAGAAAACAGGTTTGGAGAGGTTACGGTCACAGAGTTACTAAATGGCAGAACAAGAACCTGAACCCAGATCTTCTGTTTCCCAGTCCATGGCTCTTTCCACTGTACCACAGTTGCCTCATTTTGTGATGCACGTTACAGTTACACTGCAGAGTAATATCTGGAATCCCACCTAAATTATGCAAAGCAACCTGTATTGTATGATTTTTTTCTGTTGCTTCTTTTAATACATGCAATTGAAAAACAAGATGTGTTCATATATGTACATACGTGTACATGTTAAAAAAAATCCACCACGCCTATCTCAACTCACAGAAAATATTTCCAATGGATGAAGTATAAATGACACCCAAAGACACCAGATCAAGTCTGGTGTTGTCAGTACCAGTCACAATAGTACTAATAACACCCAAGTGGCCACATCAATTCAAACTAGTTTTCCACAATACTGCCCTCATTCCCAGTAAGGGAGGATGCCAAAAGCTAAGGGAAAAGGTATGCTTTCTTAGTTATGATCACACCACATACACTTACTTTTAGGTCAGGACGCTCCTTCATTTTTTTGGGCTTCTTCTCAGGAGGACCCTTAAGCTTCTCCTTTTCCTGGTTTCGCTTAAGCCGCCTCAGTTGCTCTTGAATCCTCCGCCGTTCTTTTCGCATCTCTTCTCGATGCTGCTCATCAAAAAGGGCAAATTTGCGACTAAATAATGGGGAAAAAAATCACAGATCCATAAGCAAACTTAAACCAAGAACACTGTCCTGATAGCAAACATCTCAGGACTAAAGTAATCCATCAATAATGAAACAAAAGGGCCTACCTGGCATCCCCATCTAACCTGCTCATCATTCTTCCACGTGCAGAGAGGCACCTCTCTCAGAATGAGAAGCCCTGAGGAGTCCCTAAGATTTTTGCCAACCAACCAATGAAAATACAAAGGACCCAGTGGAACTAAACACATGCCTTTATTTTGCAGCAAATTTGGAATTCTCCCTGTGATTTGGCTTTGTTCAAACCCAAAGTTCTAAAGGCAAAATGGTTCCCAATTAAAACAGACTTCCAGGGACAACTGTGCAGAATCCTGTCACTAAAACTCAAGCATCGGGAGGAACCAAGATGGCAGAGTAGAAGGACGTGCTCTCATTCCCTCTTGCGAGAACACCAGAATCACAACTAGCTGCTGCTGGACAATCATCAACAGGGAGACACTGGAACTCACCAAAAAAGATACCCCACATCCAAAGACAAAGAAGAAGCCACAATGAGACAGTAGGAGGGGCGCAATCACAGTAAAATCAAATCCCATAACTGGTGGGTGGGTGACTCACAGACTGGCGAACACTTATACCACAGAAGTCCACCCACTGGAGTGAAGGTTCTGAGCCCCATGTCAGGCTTCCCAACCTGGGGGTCCAGCAATGGGAGGAGGAATTCTTAGAGAATCAGACTTTGAAGCCTAGTGGGAATTGATTGCAGGACTTTGACAGGACTGGGGGAAAGAGAGACTCCAATTTTGGAGGGCACACACAAAGTAGTGTGCGCATTGGGACCCATGGGAAGGAGCAGTGACTCCAGGGGAGGCTGAACCAGACCTACCTGCTAGTGTTGGAGGGTCTCCTGCAGAGGCGATGTTGGGGGGGCTGTGGCTCACGGTAGGGACAAGGACACTGGCAGCAGAAGTTCTGGGAAGTACTCCTTGGAGTGAGCCCTCCCAGAGTCTGTCATTAGCCCCACCAAAGAGCCCAGGTAGGCTCCACTGTTGGGTTGCCTCAGGCCAAACAACCAACAAGGAGGGAACACAACCTCACCCATCAACAGTCAAGTGGATTAAAGTTTAACTAAGCTCTGCCCACCAGAGCAACAGTCAGCTCTACCCACCAACAGTCCCTCCCATCAAGCCTCTTAGATAGCCTCATCCACCAGAGGGCAGACAGGAGAAGAAGGAAGAACTACAATCCTGCAGCCTGTGGAACAAAAACCACATTCACAGAAAGACAGACAAGATGAAAAGGTAGAGGGCTAATACCAGATGAAGGAACAAGATAAAACGCCAGAAAAACAACTAAATGAAGTGGAGATAGGCAACCTTCCAGAAAAAGAATTCAGAATAATGATAGTGAAGATGATCCAGGACCTTAGAAAAAGAATGGAGGCAAAGATCAAGAAGATGCAAGAAATGTTTAACAAAGACCTAGAAGAATTAAACAACAAACAAACAGAGATGAACAATACAATAACTGAAATGAAAACTATACTAGAAGGAATCAATAGCAGAATAACTGAGGCAGAAGAACGGATAAGTGACCTGGAAGACAGAATGGTGGAATTCACTGCTGTGGAACAGACTAAAGAAAAAAGAATGAAAAGAAATGAAGACAGCCTAAGAGACGTCTGGGACAACATTAAACGCAACAACATTCGCATTATAGGGGTCCCAGAAGGAGAAGAGAGAGAGAAAGGACCCGAGAAGATATCTGAAGAGATTATAGTTGAAAACTTCCCTAACATGGGAAAGGAAATAGCCACCCAAGTCCAGGAAACGCAGAAAGTCTCATACAGGATAAACCAAGGAGAAACACGCTGAGACACATAGTAATCAAACTGGCAAAAATTAAAGACAAAGAAAAATTATTGAAAGCAGCAAGGGAAAAACAACAAATAAAATACAAGGGAACTCCCATAAGGTTAACAGCTGATTTCTCAGCAGAAACTCTACAAGCCAGAAGGGAGTGACATGATATACTTAAAGTGATGATAGGGAAGAAACTACAACCAAGATTACTCTATGCAGCAAGGATCTCATTCAGATTCCATGGAGAAATCAAAAGCTTTACAGACAAGCAAAAGCTAAAAGAATTCAGCACCACCAAACCAGCTCTACAACAACTGCTAAAGGAACTTCTCCGAGTGGGAAACACAAGAGAAGAAAAGGACCTACAAAAACAAACCAAAAACAATTAAGAAACTGGTCATAGGAACATACATATCGATAATTACCTTAAAAGTGAATGGATTAAATGCTCCAACCAAAAGACACAGGCTTGCTGAATGGATACAAAAACAAGACCCATATATATGCTGTCTAGAAGAGACCCACTTCAGACCTAGGGACACATACAGACTGAAAGTGAGGGGATGGAAAAAGATATTCCATGAAAATGGAAATCAAAAGAAAGCTGGAGTAGCTAACTCATATCAGAAAAAATACTTTAAAATAAAGAATATTACAAGAGAAAGGAAGGACACTACATAATGATCAAGGGATCAATCCAAGAAGATACAACAATTATAAATATATATGCACCCAACATAGGAGCGCTCTCAATACATAAGGCAACTGCTAACAGCTATAAAAGAGGAAATTGACAGTAACACAATAACAGTGGGGGACTTTAACACCTCACTTACACCAGTGGACAGATCATCCAAACAGAAAATAAACAAAGAAATAGAAGCTTTAAATGACACAACAGACCAGATAGATTTAATTGATATTTATAGGACATCCCATCCAAAAACAGCAGATTACACTTTCTTCTCAAGGGCGCACGGAACATTCTCCAGGACAGATCACATCTTGGGTCACAAATCAAGCCTCAGTAAATTTAAGAAAATTGAAATCATATAAAGCATCTTTTCTGACCACAATGCTATGAGATTAGAAATGAATTACAGGGAAAAAAACGTAAAAAACACAAACACATGGAGGCTAAACAATACGTTGCTAAATAACCAAGAGATCACTGAAGAAATCAAAAAATAACTAGAGACAAATGACAATGAAAACACGATGATCCAAAATCTATGGGATGCAGCAAAAGCAGTTCTAAGAGGGAAGTTTATAGCTACACAAGCCTACCTCAAGAAACAAAAATCTCAAGTAAACAATCTAACATTACACCTAAAGGAACTAGAAAAAGAAGAACAAACAAAATCCAAAATTAGCGGAAGGAAAGAAATCATAAAGAGCAGAGCAGAAGTAAATGAAATAGAAACAAAGAAAACAATAGCAAAGATCAATAAAACTAAAACTGGTTCTTTGAGAAGATAAACAAAATTGATAAACCATTAGCCAGACTCATCAAGAAAAAGAGGGAGAGGACTCAAATCAATAAAATTAGAAATGAAAAAGAAGTTACAACAGACACCACAGAAATACAAAGCATCCTAAGAGACTACTACAAGCAACTCTATGCCAATAAAATGGACAACCTGGAAGAAATGGACAAATTCTTAGAAAGGTATAACCTTCCAAGACTGAACCAGGAAGAAAGAGAAAATATGAACAGACTAATCAAAAGTAATGAAATTGAAACTGTGATTAAAAATCTTCCAAGAAACAAAAGTCCAGGAACAGATGGCTTCACAGGTGAATTCTATCAAAAATTCAGAGAAGAGCTAACACCCATCCTTCTCAAACTCTTCCAAAAAACTGCAGAGGAAGGAACACTCCCAAACTCATTCTATGAGGCCACCATCACCCCGACACCAAAACCAGACAAAGATACTACAAAAAAAGAAAATAACAGACCAATATCACTGATGAATATAGATGCAAAAATCCTCAACAAAATACTAGCAACAGAATCCACAAGACATTAAAAGGATCATACACCATGATCAAGTGGGATTTATCCCAGGGAAGCAAGGATTCTTCAATATACACAAATCAACCAATGTGATACACCATATTAACAAATTGAAGAATAAAAACCATATGATCATCTCAATAGGTGCAGAAAAAGCTTTTTACAAAATTCAACACCAATTTATGATAAAAACTCTCCAGAAAGTGGGCATAGAGGGAACCTACCTCAACATAATAAAGACCATATATGACAAACCACAGCAAACATCATTCTCAATGGTGAAAAACTGAAAGCATTTCCTCTAAGATCAGGAACAAGACAAGGATGTCCACTCTCACCACTATTATTCAACACAGTTTTGGAAGTCCTAGCTATGGCAATCACAGAAGGAAAAGAAATAAAAGGAATACAAACTGGAAAAGAAGAAGTAAAACTGTCACTGTTTGCAGATGACATGATACTATACACAGAAAATCCTAAAGATGCCACCAGAAAACTACTAGAGCTAATCAATGAATTTGGTAAAGTTGCAGGATACAAAATTAATGCACAGAAATCTCTTGCATTCCTATACACTAATGATGAAAAATCTGAAAGAGAAATTATGGAAACACTCTCATTTACCAAAAAAGAATAAAATACCTAGGAATAAACCTACCTAAGGAGACAAAAGACCTGTATGCAGAAAACTATAAGACACTGATGAAAGAAATTAAAGATGATACCAACAGATGGAGAGATATACCATGTTCTTGGATTGGCAGAATCAACATTGTGAAATTGACTACACTACCCAAAGCAATCTACAGATTCAATGCAATCCCTATCAAATTACCAATGGCATTTTTTACGGAACTAGAACAAATCGTCTTAAAATTTGTATGGAGACACAAAAGACCCCGAATAGCCAAAGCAATCTTGAGGGAAAAAAACGGAGCTGGAGGAATCAGACACCCTGACTTCAGACTATACTACAAAGCTACAGTAATCAAGACAATATGGTACTGGCACAAAAACAGAAACGTAGATCAATGGAACAAGACAGAAAGCCCAGAGATAAACCCATGCACCTATGGTCAACTAATCTATGACAAAGGAAGCAAAGATATACAATGGAGAAAAGACAGTCTCTTCAATAAGTGGTGCTGGGCAAACTGGACAGCTACATGTAAAAGAATGAAATTAGAACACTCCCTAACACCATACACAAAAATAAACTCAAAATGGATTAAAGACCTAAATGTAAGGCCAGAAACTATCAAACTCTTAGAGGAAAACATAGGAAGAAACACTCTTTGACATAAATCACAGCAAGATCTTTTTTCATCCACCTCCTAGAGTAATGGAAATAAAAACAAAAATAAACAAATGGGACCTAATGAAACTTCCAAGCTTCTGCACAGCAAAGGAAACCATAAACAAGACAAAAAGATAACCCTCAGAATGGGAGAAAATATTTGCAAATGAATCAATGGACAAAGAATTAATCTCCAAAATATATGAACAGCTCATGCAGCTCAATATTAAAGAAACAAACAACCCAATCCAAAAATGGGCAGAAGACCTAAATAGACATTTCTCCAAAGAAGACATACAGATGGCCAAGAAGCACATGAAAAGCTGCTCAACATCAGTAATTAGTAGAGAAGTGCAAATCAAAACTACAATGAGGTATCACCTCACACCAGTTAGAACGGGCATCATCAGAAAATCTACAAACAACAAATGCTGGAGAGGGTGTGGAGAAAAGGGAACCCTCTTGCACTGTTGGTGGGAATGTAAATTGATACAGCCACTATGGAGAACAGTATGGAGGTTCCTTAAAAAACGAAAAATAGAATTACCATATGACCTAACAATCCCACTATTGGGCATATACCCAGAGAAAACCATAATTCAAAAAGACACATGCACCCCAATGTTCACTGCAGCACTATTTACAATAACCAGGTCATGGAAGCAACCTAAATGCCCATCGACAGACGAATGGATAAAGAAGTTGTGTTACATATATACAATGGAATATTACTCAGCTATAAAAAGGAACGAAATTGAGTCATTTGTTGAGACGTGGATGGATCTAGAGACTGTCATACAGAGTGAAGTAAGTCAGAAAGAGAAAAACAAATATCGTATATTAACACATGTATGTGGAACCTAGAAAAATGGTACAGATGAACCGGTTTGCAGGGCAGAAGTTGAGACACAAACTAACAAAAAAACAAGTAATACTAAACTTTCTTTGGGTTATTTGTATGGACATATGTTAATATAAATGTTTCAGACATGACATGAAATTTCTAAAAGTCTTATATGTTCTGGTATAATGTTATAAGTCATACTTCTAGTTATTATTTTAAAATGTGTATCTCAGAAATAACGAAATTTCCTTGTCAATTGCATTATTATGAACTTTCATCAAATCTTTAACCATGGTCATTTTTAAGTCTTTTGTCATTTACAGACAGTTCTGGGTGTCCTCTGATGCTTTTGCAAACATGTTCCTATAAAAGGTTTTCATCTTCAAGGAATTCATGGAAAAGACTCTGACAAGTACAGGTTTCTGGTAACTGACTATACTGCTGAACTGAAGTGAATAAGCATTTTCAGAACTCTAATGTAAAACTGATGAATTCATAAAAGTGCTAACAAAAGATCAAGATGGGGCTTCCCTGGTGGCACAGTGGTTAAGAATCTGTCTGCCAACGCAAGGGACACGGGTTCAAGCCCTGGCCTGGGAAGATCCCACATGCCACGGAGCAACTAAGCCTGTGTGCCACAACTACTGAGCCTGAGTTCTAGAGCTCGTGAGCCACAACTACTGAGCCCGTGTGCTACAACTACTGAAGCCCGCACGCCTAGAGCCTGTGCTCTGCAACAAGTGAAGCGACGACAATGAGAAGCCCATGCATGGCAATGAAGAGTAGCCCCCACTTGCCGCAACTAGAGAAAGCCTGCGTGCAGCAACAAAAACCCAACGCAGCCATAAATAAATAAACAAACAAACAAATATTGAAAAAAAGATCAAGATAAAAAAAATTAATTACATGGGACTGAGTGAACTAATGAGGATGATTATAATTTTTATGACTTTCTGTTTGAATTAAAAAAAGAAAAAGCCACCAGGACTCAGAGGCAAAAAATATACAAATCAATTTTCACTGCAAAGTAAAGGAGCTGTTATAGTGGAGGATTACTGGACTGAATGTCAATACTATGACATAGTATGAGTGTGTTTCATGTTTGGTAATTGCAATCATTGTTACTTTTGTTGTGGTCATCCATTTACAATGCTTGGTGTCAGTTTATCTCTTGTAAAAATAAAATACAGTGTGTGTGTGTGTGTGAAAAAAAGAATATTCAAATAATAAAAAATAAAAAATATTTAAAAATTAAAAATATAAAAAACTCAAGCATCCACCCTCACTCCCTTCCCCATCATTATCATTCTTCTTATTGCACTGGAAAGTGGGGAGGGAGTCAAACTCACATGAATTCCTCATCTTTCGTGGTCCGTATACGCACATAGGCATCAATGACAGCTGGCTTTCGGACGGTCTCACAGCGAACATATTCTTTCCCCTCTTCATCGCGAAATGTGCGATAAATCTTGAGACAACGGCCGGTGGCAGAAGAGTTAAGGCTAGTCACAGAAGCTGTGTCATCATCTCTGTGATTGTTTCCTGATGCTGCTGAGCCTGCTGCTGCAAGGCAGAAAAAGATTTCCACAAATTCCCCCTACCACCCAAATGGCCATTTTCTTGGGGCTGAGTGGAGACCCTGAAGCTCAACATGCCACAGAACTATGTTTCTACAGAAAGCATCAGTCACCACCAGCCCCAAGAATACACTGAGTTGTCCTTTCCTGACTTCATTTTACCACTGTCAGAGTTATCATTTTTGTAAGTACAGAAAGTTCTGAAAGGATCTCAAAAAACACGTTTGTTATATAGAGGACAGAAGAGCAGTAGCTGTATTCTGATTCCTCTGAACAACAGCACAAGAATAAAGTCCAAGCAGGAAGCAGTTGACGGTCGCATTATAGAAAAGCACCCAGGGGAAAAAGATGGCACCACAGGGCTTCCCTGGTGGTGCAGTGGTTGAGAGTCTGCCTGCCGATGCAGGGGACACGGGTTTGTGCCCCGGTCTGGGAAGATCCCATGTGCCGCGGAGCGGCTGGGGCCATGAGCCATGGCCGCTGGGCCTGCGCATCTGGAGCCTGTGCTCCGCAACGGGAGAGGCCACAACAGTGAGAGGCCTGCGTACCGCAAAAAAAAAAAAAAAAAGGCACCACAGAAAAAATCCAGAGTTTCAAGGCCTAGCGTATGCTTCTCAAACTTTTAATATGAATGAATAGGAATCATCTGAGGATCTTGTTAAAATAGATTCTAATTCAGTAGGTTTGGGGTGAGACCTGAGATGCTGCATTTCTAACAAGCTCCCATGTGATGTAGATACTGCTGGTCCAGGACCACACTCGAGGAAAGGCTTTATCACATCTTCACAAAGTAGCCAGAACAACAGAATTACACAAAGCTTTTACAGGGAGGAAACAAAGGAAAGACTACTGTGAGTGAAAATAGTCATTTAAACCTTCATCTTCAGCCTTTATCCTCCCTCTCAGTATCTACAACCAAGTTTTCAATTGCCTGCTTGACATCTATACTGGGAGTATCATGGGGACCTCAAACACCACATATTATACCTTTCCTTCTTAAACCTGCTTCTTTTTCTGAAATTTACTACTTTAATCAATGGTACCACCATCTTTCTAGCAAGCAAGAGTGAAATCTTAAGGTCCCTTTGATTTTTCTCCTCTTTTCATTCCCAGTGACCAGATCCCAAACCAGTTTAGGCTTTTCTCATCCCCACCGTCAACTTATGCAATTTTGGGTTGGTGATTTTAAACTTTTTAGGGTCTAAGACTCCTTTAAGAATCTTCTGAAAGCCATATGGATCTTCTCAGAAAAGGCACATTTGCACAGAATTGTACATGTGATTTCAGAGGGTTCATTAACAATCCCCCAATTCATCCACAGATTCTGTATTAAAAACTCTTATCCTCTAGGATGAATGCCCAGAAAACTCAACTGATGTATAGCACGGATAGCCCTGGCTTGGCCAGGCCTAATACAGACAGAGGCCGTAGTGGACTGGCAACATCTCTTCAATTTGTGCCCCACAGACAAACCTACAGTCCAGTTTGCAGAATCTCTCTACCTCTTCTATAGCCTTTTCTACACTCGTCCCCTACTTCTTCTGCCTCCAGCTCTATCTCAGTTATTAGTGTGGTTATTTACACTTTCTTCATCTTTCTTTTTCTTGTCTGTCTGTGAAGTCACTACCCTCACCCAGTAGCATCCGCTGCAGTTCCTTCCGCTCCTGCTCCTCCCGCTCACGTGACAGCTGAGAGCTGGTTTTCTTATTCTGCAACATGTTCTCGATGTTCTTTCCCATCTCCTCAAAGTCACTGTCTTCAGCTGAGCTGCTATCTGTGTCAGTTGATAAGATTTCAGTTGATGACAAAACCCTAAAAAGAAAAAACAATGTTAAGAAGAGGGAAACATAAACGTGTAGAAACAACTGAAGAAATACAGTTTTAGTTTAGGCAAAAGTAGGAAATTGAGAAATCAACCTTAAAAAAGAAATATTCAAAATCCACTAAGACATGGGACCCTGAACAGAGAAGCTCTACGAAGTTTTCCCAGAAATTTAGTCACAAGGCAAGTTCAAAATATGAAATAGTACTGCAACTCTTTCACAATTCCTGGAAAAAGCCTGAGAAACAAATCAGTACATTGGTCATTTTAAATAGAGCATTACCATCCTCTAACCACTAAGCCTACTGTTGCCCATCACCACTGCAATGGCTGCCAGGCCCAAGTAGGCCACAAAAGTTGCCATGGAACCTAGCAGTTCTTGCCATTCAAAACCTTTGCCAAGCTGCTTTGAAGGGAGTAGGTACTCTAGCAGTATTATGAATAGACACCACCCTGAAATCTCAGATACCTGACCACTAGTCACTTTATTAGGTGACCTTCTCTTCACTATAAAATAATGTCTGGGACCCCTCCCCTTTCCAGCCTGGATTTTCTACAGCACTAAAACAACACACTTGTTCTGCAGGTCAAAGATGCGCTGACATTCCTCTTTGTAACGCTCTTGATGCTCAGCGACAGAAAACCTTGATCCACGGGCAAATTTACTCATGGGCCCCTCTCCAGAGCGGGCCTGTTCTGTTGACATTGTGCGTACTACATCGATCACTTCCCAGCGGGACAACTTTTTAATCTACAAGAGACACACACACACAAATCATTCAGGGATTTCAAAGGACAAACCAGGGTACACGGTTAGAGAGTTAGACCAAAAAAAACCCCCAAAAAACCAAAAAAACACAACAACAATGAAATCACCCAAAGCACGTTAAACAGAAAGCTTTGAGAAAGCTAACTCCTGAAAAAGTATCTAAGATCCAGTTTACCACAACCTACCCTACAAAATTCTCCAGATTAGTTCCTAACATCTGCCTCCAAGCTTTTCCCTCTCTATACAAAGCCCCTAGGAGCCTGTAAGTCTTCCTCTTCCACACCCACCTCTTCCTCAGGCACGCCAAATTTACGTAGAAGTTGCTTGGCATTTTTCAGTGACAGGCGACGGAGGTCTGCATCTGTTCCTGTCACTGTCTTCTTCACTGGCTGAGGCTCCTTATCATCCTACCTCAGAAACAAAACAAGAGAGAATACTAGTAAAACTCTTTATAGTAGGCATTTAAGTCATCCTGTCAACATTTTAATGGCTTTCCAGATCCCCACCCATTCATCTCCATTCCTTAACCTCTATTTCTTCCTCCCTTGATTTTTAACCTCTAGAAATTCAGACAGTCTCACCTTCTGCTGTGTTGGTTTGTTTGGAATCTTCACATAGGAGAATCCTTCACCACACCCTGTGGGATCTGCCACCCCAGTCACCTCCAGGAGACACTTGCCCTTCATGGCAGCAATGAAGGCCCTTGTGGTGTTCCAAGGAGCAGTGCGAACCTGAGGTACAGAAAAAGATTCAAAGGGTGGTGGGAAACATTTGCTCTATGTCTAGCCATACTTAGAAGGTGAGGATAATTACAATAATGTACAATTTGATGCTTCCTTAAACTGCCCACAGAGATCAATAGTTTCATAAAGCTGCCCAGTACTCAGCCTGCTGTTCTTTCCTATGGTACTTAAATCATGATAATAAAGAGGCCAAGATCTCAGTCAGTATAAGTAGGAATATGTTGAACAGTGGTACCTTCAGCCCCATATCCCTTGGGTTTGACTGAGAGTTCTCAAAGACAGTGTTCCCCCCACCCTCATGATGCTCAAAGAGTTAAGTTAGATTGATGACCAAATTTGATTGTCCAATTGCTCAAACGCCTTCTTCAGAATGACTCTCACAATTAGATGATAAGCATGCTTTACAAAAGCACTGGCCCCAGTCCCAGTAGCAATAAATTAAAGTGTATTCTACCTCTGCCACTGGTTTGGTCAAAAAGGCCTGTCCTCTCCTGGGACCCTGAATAGTGTTCATCGACCCCATTAAATAATCAGGCAGTTAAGACAAGGGGAATGTGCTTGTCCAAACAGACCAGTCAAGAGTATAAATTATTAGCTAGAAAGAGACCAATTCTCTACTCGAAATTCAATCTTGAAGGCCATTCAACAGAATCTTTAATTTTGGAAATTCTTAGACATACACTTATTGTTAACTCCAACCTCAAAAGAATAGTACAACAATGCTTCTTTAGTCACTCTGCCTGACCTCACTGACAATCATTCACTCATTTAACAAATATTTATGGAATACCTACCACATGTCAAGCACTACTTTCTTAAGGACCTCATATTAGTGAGGGAGAGACAAATAAACCAACGAATTCAATACTGCATGATCAGTGCCATGATAGGAAAGTAAAAAGTGCTATATGTACACAAAGAAGGAAAGGATGGTGATCCAATCTGAATGAAGGGTGGGAGTGAGGGCCAGAGTTGGGGAAAGCTTCCAGGAGAATATAACTTGTAGATGAAGGTCAGATAACAGAGGAGTGGAGAGAAAACATTCTAGGCAGAAGGAGGAGCAGTTGCAAAATCCCAGAAGACAGCAGAAAGAAATTAAGGGAACTGAATGAACTTCAGTATGTTTGGAGCTTAGAGTATAAGATGGGCAGTGAAGAGATATGGGAACATATGTATATATATAACTGATTCATTTTGTTGTGAAGCTGAAACTAACATACCATTGTAAAGCAATTATACTCCAATAAAGATGTTTAAAAAAAAAAAAAAAAAAAAAAAGATGGGCAGTGACAGATGAGAGGAGGTGAGAGTTGTATTACAGTACAAGACCAAAATCATGTAAAGCCTTATGAATCACGTTAAGGATTTCTTCCTAAAAGAAATGAGGACCCAAAGGAAGTCTTTGGGCAAGAGAGTGATATGACCAAATTTTTGTTTTAAAAGATAATTTAATTTTTTGATAAATGGTACTAGAATAACTGGACATTCATATGCAAAGAAAAATGAACCTTAGGGCTTCCCTGGTGGCTCAGTGGTTGAAAGTCTGCCTGCCAATGCAGGGGACATGGGTTCGTGCTCCGGTCTGGGAAGATCCCACATGCCGTGGAGCAGCTAGGCCCGTGAGCCATGGCTGCTGGGCCTGCGCGTCTGGAGCCTGTGCTCCGCAACGGGAGAGGCCACAACAGTGAGAGGCCTGTGTACCACAAAAAAAAAAAAAAAAAAAAAAAAAAAAAGAACCTTAATCTACACCTTACACCCTAAACAAAAATTAACTCAAAATGGATCTAACCATAAGATCTAAAACAATAAAACCTTTAGAAGAAAATATAAGAAAAAAATTTTGCAACCCTGAGTTAGATTAAAATATCTTACATATAACACCAAAACCACAAGCAACAAAGGAGAAGATTTACAAGTTAGACTTCAGCTCTTCATAAGACACTGCTAAGACAATTAAAACACAAGCCTCAGACTGGGAGAAAAGTCTTTGTAAATCACATACCTGATAAGGAACTCGGACCTAGAATACATAAAGAACTCTCAAAACTTTAGAAGAAAACAAACAACTAATTAAAAATAAAAATGGGCAAAAGAGATACAGACCCTCAACCAAAGAAGATAACTAGATGATAAATAAGCACATAGAAAGATGCTCAACATCTTTAGCTATCAGGGAAATGCAAATTAAAACTGCAATGACAGACCACTTCACACCCACTATAGGAGGGCAATAATAATAAGAGTAATAATAATAAATAGAAAATAACAAGTGTTGATAAGGATGTTGGAAAACTGGAACCCTCATACACTGCTAGTAGGAATGTAGATGGTGCAGCCACTGTGGAAAAGTCTGGCAGTTCCTCCAAAGGTAAAACAGAGTTACCACACAACCCAGCAATTTCACTTCTAGGTATTTACCCCCCCCACCAAAAAAATGTATGTCCATATAAAGATTTATACATGGATATTTAAAGCAGCTTTATTCATAATAGCCCAAAACTGGGAACAACCAAAATGCCCTTTGACAGATGATTAAACAAACTGTGGTACATCCATACTGTAGTATGCTACGCAGCAATAAAAGGAACAAACTATTAATACACACAACCACCTGGATGAATCTCAACATCATTAGAGTGAAGAACACAGACAAGAAAAAATTTATACTTTCAACAAATGGTGCTGGGAAAATAGAACACCCACGTACAAAATAACGAAGGTGGACCTTTACTTTACGCCATATACAAAAATTAACTCAAAATGGGACAAACACTGAAATGTAAGAACTAACAATGTAAAACTCTTAGAAGAAAAGACGGGGAAAAGCTTCCCGACACTGGATTTGGCAATGATCTCCTGGATATGGAACCAAAAGCACAAGTGACAAAAGTAAAATTAGGTAAACTGGACTACATCAAAATTTAAAATTTCTCAGCAACAAAGGACACAACCGAGTGAAAGGCAACCTATGGAATGAGAGAAAATATTTGCATAACATATATCTGAAAAGAGGTTAACACCCAGAATATATAAACTCCTGCAACTCAACCGCAAAAAGCAAACAACACAATTCAAAAATGGGCAAAAGGGGCTTCCCTGGTGGCGCAGTGGTTGAGAGTCCGCCTGCCGATGCAGCGGACATGGGTTTGTGCCCCAAACCGGGAAGATCCCACATGCCGCAGAGCGGCTAGGCCCGTGAGCCATGGTCGCTGAGCCTGCACGTCCAGAGCCTGTGCTCCGCAACAGGGAGAGGCCACAACAGTGAGAGGCCCTCGTACCGCCAAAAAAACTAACAAACAAAAAATGGGCAAAGGGCTTGAACAGACACTTCTCAAAATAAGGCATACAAACGGCCAACAAGCACATGAAAAGACACTAATCATCAACGAAATGCAAATCAAAACCACACTAAGATACCACCTCACACCCACTGACATAGCTACTTATCAAAAAAACAATAAATAAATGCTGACGAAAAAGTGGAGATGTTGGAACTCATACACCATTGATAGGAATGTAAAACAGTGCAGATGCTTTGAAAAACATTATGGAGGTTCCTGAAACAACTACTGATAAAAATAGAATTACCATATGATCCAACAATTCCATTTCTGGGTATATATGCAAAAGAATTGAAAGTAAGGTCTTGAAGAGATACCTGCACACCCATGTTCATAGTAGCACTATTCACAACAGCTAAGAGGTGGAAACAATGCAAATGTCCATCAATGGATGAATGGATAACCAAAATAATATTCCATGGTATATGTGTGTGTGTATATATATATCACAGAATATTATTCAGCCTTAAAAAGGAAGGAAGGGCATCCCTGGTGGCACAGTGGTTAAGAATCTGCCTGCCAATGCAGGGGACACAGGTTCGAGCCCTGGTCCGGGAAGATCCCACATGCCATGGAGCAACTAAGCCCGTGCACCACAACTACTGAGCCTGCGCTCTAGAGCCCATGCGCCACAACTACTGAAGCCCACGCACCTAGATCCCGTGCTCCGCAACAAAAGAAGCCACTGCAATGAGAAGCCCGCTCTCCGCAACAAAGAGTAGCCCCCGCTCGCCGCAACTAGAGAAAGCCCACGTGCAGCAACAAAGACCCAACACAGCCAAAGATAATAAAAAACAAAACAAAAACTCTAAAAAAAAAAAAACGAAGGAAATTCTGACACATGCTACAATCTGAATGAACCTTGAGAATATTATCCCAGATGAAATAAATCAGTGATATAAATAAAAACAAATACTGGAGCAGAGGAGAAGATGGTGTAAGAGTAAGACACCGAGATCACCTTCCTCCCCACAGATACACCAGAAATACATCTACACATGGAGCAACTCCTACAGAACACCTACTGAATGCTGGCAGAAGACCTCAGACCTCCCAAAAGGCAAGAAACTCCCCACGTACCTGGGTAGGGCAAAAGAAAAAAGAGAAAACAGAGACAAAAGAATAGGGACGGAACCTGCACCAGTGGGAGAGAGCTGTGAAGGAGGAAAGGTTTCCACACACTAGGAAGCCCCTTCGCGGGCGGAGACTGCAGGTGGCGGGTGGCGGAGGGGGGAGCTTCGGAGCCGTGGAGGAGAGCACAGCAACAGGGGTGTGAAGGGCAAAGCGGGGAGATTCCCGCACAGAGGATCGGTGCTGACAGGCACTCAGCAGCCCCAGAGGCTTCTCTGCTCACCCTCCGGGGTGGGCGGGGCTGCGAGCTGAGGCTCGGGCTTTGGTCAGAGACCCGGGGGAGGACTGGGGTTGGCGGCGTGAACACAGCCTGAAGGGGTTAGTGCACCACAGCTAGCCGGGAGGGAGTCCAGGAAAAGGTCTAGGCAAGAGACTTTTTCTTCCCTCTTTGTTTCCCGGTGTGCGAGGAGAGGGGTTTAAGAGCGCTGCTTAAAGGAACTCCAAAGACGGGCGCGAGCCGCGGGTAAAAACGCGAACCCCACAGACGGGTGGGAGATGCTAAGGCTGCTGCTGCTGCCACCAAGGAGGGGCCTGTGTACGAGCACAGGTCACTATCCACACCCCTCTTCCGGGGAGCCTGTGCAGCCCGCCACTGCCAGGTTCCCAGGATCCAGGGACAACTTCCCTGGGAGAACGCATGGCAGGCCTCAGGCTGGTGCAAGGTCACGCCGGCCTCTGCCACTGCAGGCTCGCCCCACATTCCACGCCCCTCCCTCCCCCCCGGCCTGAGTGAGCCAGAGCCCCCGAATCAGCGGCTCCTTTAACCCCATCCTGTCTGAGCAAAAAACAGACGCCCTCCAGTGACCTACATGTAGAAGCGGGGCCAAATCCAAAGCTGAGCCCCTGGGAGCTGTGAGAACAAGGAAGAGAAAGGGAAATCTCTCCCGGCAGCCTCAGAAGCAGCAGATTAAAGCTCCACAATCAACTTGATGTACCCTGCATCTGTGGAATACATGAATAGACAACAAATCATCCCAAATTGAGGAGGTGGACTTCGAGAGCAAGATTTATGATTTTTTTCCCCTTTTTCTCTTTTTGTGAGTGTGTGTGTGTATGCTTCTGTGTGAGAATTTATCTGTATAGCTTTGCTTCCACCACTTGTCCTAGGGTTCTATCCATCCTTTTTTTAAAATTTTTCTTAATAATTAATTTTAATAACTTTATTATACCTTACCTTCTTTCTTTCTTTCGTTCGTTCTTTCCTTCCTTCCTTCCTTCCTTCCTTCCCTCCTTTAGACAACGAATCATCCCATATCGAGGAGGTGGACCTTGAGAGCAAGATTTATGATTTTTTCCCTTTTCTCTTTTTGTGAGTGTGTATGTGTATGTTTCCGTGTGAGAATTTATCTGTATAGCTTTGCTTCCACCACTTGTCCTAGGGTTCTATCCGTCCGTTTTTTAAAATTTTTTTCCTTAATAATTAATTTTAATAACTTTATTATACCTTACCTTCTTTCTTTCTTTTGTTCGTTCTTACCTTCCTTCCTTCCTTCCTTCCCTCCTTTAGACAACAAATCATCCCATATCGAGGAGGTGGACCTTGAGAGCAAGATTTATGATTTTTTCCCCTTTTTCTCTTTTTGTGAGTGTGTATGTGTATGCTTCTCTGTGAGAATTTATCTGTATAGCTTTGCTTCCACCACTTGTCCTAAGGTTCTATCCATCCGTTTTTTTTTAAGTTTTTTTTCTTAATAATTAACTTTAATAACTTTATTATACCTTACCTTCTTTTTTTCGTTCGTTCTTTCCTTCCTTCCTTCCTTCCTTCCCTCCTTTAGACAACGAATCATCCCAAATCGAGGAGGTGGACCTTGAGAGCAAGATTTATGATTTTTTACCCTTCACCTCTTTTTGGGAGGGTGTATGTGTATGCTTCTGTGTAAGATTTTGCCTGTATACCTTTGCTTCCACCATTTGGCCTAAGGTTCTATCTGTCCCTTTTTTTCCCCTAAATAATTATTTTCTAATTTAGTAACTTTATTATACTTTATTTTATTTTACTGTACCTTCTTTCTTTTTTCCTTCCTTCCCTCCTTCCTTCCGTCCTTCCTCCCTCCTTCCTTTCTTTCCCTCTTTCCTTTCTTTCTTCCTTCCTTCTCTCCCTCCCTCCCTCCCTTCCTCCTTCCTTTCTTTCTTCCTACCTCTACTAATTCTCTCTCTACTCTTTCTCCCTTTTACTCTGAGCCGTATGGGTGAAAGGCTCTTGGTGCTACAGCCAGGAGTCAGTGCTGTGCCTCTCAGGTGGGAGAGCCAACTTCACGACACTGGTCAACAAGAGACCTCCCAGCTCCACATAATATCAAACAGTGAAAATCTCCCAGAGATCTCCATCTCAACACCAGCACCCAGCTTCACAGTGCTGGACAACCTATGCCAAATAACTAGCAAAACAGGAACACAACCCCACCCATTAGCAGAGAGGCTACCTAAAATCATAGTAAGTCCACAGACACCCCAAAACACACCACCAGACGTGGACCTGCCCACTAGAGAGACAAGATCCAGCCTCATCCACCAGAACACAGGCACTAGTCCCCTCCACCAGGAAGCCTACACAACCCACTGGAGACAGTCATCAAATACAACGGGAACTACGAACCTGCAGCCTGCAAAAAGGAGACCCCAAACACAGTAAGATAAGCAAAATGAGAAGACAGAAAAACACACAGCAGATGAAGGAGCAAGATAAAAACCCACGAGACCTAACAAATGAATAGGAAATAGGCAGTCTACCTGAAAAAGAATTCAGAATAATGATAGTAAAGATGATCCAAAATCTTGGAAATAGAATGGACAAAATGCAAGAAACATTTAACAAGGACCTAGAAGAACTAAAGATGAAACAAACAATGATGAACAACACAATAAATGAAATGAAAAATACTCTAGATGGGATCAATAGCAGAATAACTGAGGCAGAAGAACGGATAAGTGACCTGGAATATAAAATAGTGGAAATAACTACTGCAGAGCAGAATAAAGAAAAAAGAATGAAAAGAACTGAGGACAGTCTCAGAGACCTCTGGGACAGCATTAAATGCAGCAACATCCAAATTACAGGGGTTCCAGAAGAAGAAGAGAAAAAGAAAGGGACTGAGAAAATATTTGAAGAGATTATAGTTGAAAACTTCCCTAATATGGAAAAGGAAATAGTCCAGGAAGCACAGAGAGTCCCATACAGGATAAATCCAAGGAGAAATACACCAAGACACATATTAATCAAATTGTCAAAAATTAAATACAAAGAAAGCATATTAGGAGCAGCAAGAGAAAAACAACAAATAACACACAAGGGAAACTCTGCAAGCCAGAAGGGAGTGACAGGACATACCGAAAGTGATGAAGGAGAAAAATCTGCAACCAAGATTACTCTACCCAGCAAGGATCTCATTCAGATTTGATGGAGAAATTAAAACCTTTACAGACAAGCAAAAGCTGAGAGAGTTCACCACCAAACCAGCTTTACAACAAATGCTAAAGGAACTTCTCTAGGCAAGAAACACAAGAGAAGGAAAAGACCTATAATAACGAACCCAAAACAATTTAGAAAATGGGAATAGGAACATACATATCGATAATTACCTTAAATGTAAATGGACTAAATGCTCCCACCAAAAGACACAGATTGGCTGAATGGATACAAAAACAAGACCCATATATATACTGTCTATAAGAGACCCACTTCAGACCTAGAGACACATACAGACTGAAAGTAAGGGGATGGAAAAAGATATTCCATGCAAATGGAAACCAAAAGAAAGCTGGAGTAGCAATTCTCATATCAGACAAAATAGACTTTAAAATAAAGAATATTAGAAGAGACAAAGAAGGACACTACATAATGATCAAGGGATCAATCCAAGAAAAAGATATAACAATTGTAAATATTTATGCACCCAACATAGGAGCACCTCAATACATAAGGCAAATACTAACAGCCAGAAAAGGGGAAATTGACAGTAACACATTCATAGTAGGGGACTTTAACACCCCACTTTCACCAATGGACAGATCATCCAAAATGAAAATAAATAAGGAAACACAAGTTTAAATGATACATTAAACAAGATGGACTTAATTGATATTTATAGGACACTCCATCCAAAAACAACAGAATACACATTTTTCTCAAGTGCTCATGGAACATTCTCCAGGATAGATCATATCTTGCCTTGGTACAAATCAAGCCTTGGTAAATTTAAGAAAACTGAAATTGTATCAAGTATCTTTTCCGACCACAACGCCACGAAACTAGATATCAATTACAGGAAAAGGTCTGTAAAAAATACAAACACATGGAGGCTAAACAATACACTACTTTATAACGAAGTGATCACTGAAGAAATCAAAGAGGAAATAAAAAAATACCTAGAAACAAATGACAATGGAGACACAATGACCCCAAACCTATGGGATGCAGCAAAATCAGTTCTAAGAGGGAAGTTTATAGCAATACAAGCCCACCTTAAGAAACAGGAAACATCTCAAATAAACAACCTAACCTTGCACCTCAAGCAATTAGAGAAAGAAGAACAAAAATACCCCAAAGTTAGCAGAAGGAAAGAAATCATAAAAATCAGATCAGAAATAAATGAAAAAGAAATGAAGGAAACGATAGCAAAGATCAATAAAACTACAAGCTGGTTCTTTGAGAAGATAAACAAAATTGATGAACCATTAGCCAGACTCATCAAGAAAAAAAGGGAGAAGACTCAAATCAATAGAATTAGAAATGAAAAAGGAGAAGTAACAACTGACACTGCAGAAACAAAAAAGATTATGAGAGATTACTACAAGCAACTCTATGCCAATAAAATGGACAACCTGGAAGAAATGGACAAATTCTTAGAAATGCACAACCTGCCAAGACTGAATCAGGAAGAAATAGAAAATATGAACAGACCAATCACAAGCACTGAAATTGAAACTGTGATTAAAAATCTTCCAACAAACAAAAGCCCAGGACCAGATGGCTTCACAGGCGAATTCTATCAAACATTTAGAGAAGAGCTAACACCTATCCTTCTCAAACTCTTCCAAAATATAGCAGAGGGAGGAACATTCCCAAACTCATTCTACGAGGCCACCATCACCCTGATACCGAAACCAGACAAGGATGTCACAAAGAAAGAAAACTACAGGCCAATATTACTGATGAACATAGATGCAAGAACCCTCAACAAAACACTAGCAAACAGAATCCAACAGCACATTAAAAGGATCATACGCCATGATCAAGTGGGGTTTATTCCAGGAATACAAGGATTCTTCAATATATGCCAATCAATCAACGTGATACACCATATTAACAAACTGGAGGAGAAAAACCATATGATCATCTCAATAGATGCAGAGAAAGCTTTTGACAAAATTCAACACCCATTTATGATAAAAACCCTGCAGAAAAGTAGGCATAGAGGGAACTTTCCTCAACATAATAAAGGCCATATATGACAAACCCACAGCCAACATCGTCCTCAATGGTGAAAAACTGAAAGCATTTCCACTAAGATCAGGAACAAGACAAGGTTGTCCACTCTCACCACTCTTATTCAACATAGTTTTGGAAGTTTTAGCCACAGCAATCAGAGAAGAAAAGGAAATAAAAGGAATCCAAATCGGAAAAGAAGAAGTAAAGCTGTCACCGTGTGCAGATGACATGATACTATACACAGAGAATCCTCAAGATGCTACCAGAAAACTACTAGAGCTAATCAATGAATTTGGTAAAGTAGGAGCATACAAAATTAATGCACAGAAATCTCTGGCATTCCTATACACTAATGATGAAAAATCTGAAAGTGAAATCAAGAAAACACTCCCATTTACCATTGCAACAAACAGAATAAAATATCTAGGAATAAACCTACCTAAGGAGACAAAAGACCTGTATGCAGAAAATTATAAGACACTGATGAAAGAAATTAAAGATGATACAAATAGATGGAGAGATATACCATGTTCTTGGATTGGAAGAATCAACATTGTGAAAATGACTCTACTACCCAAAGCAATCTACAGATTCAATGCAATCCCTACCAAACTACCACTGGCATTTTTCACAGAACTAGAACAAAAAAATTCAATTTGTATGGCAACAGAAAAGACCCCGAATAGCCAAAGCAATCTTGAGAACGAAAAACGGAGCTGGAGGAATCAGGCTCCCTGACTTCAGACTATACTACAAAGCTACAGTAATCAAGGCAGTATGGTACCGGCCCAAAAAACAGAAAGATAGATCAATGGAACAGGATAGAAAGCCCAGAGACATACCCACGCACATATGGTCACCTTATCTTTGATAAAGGAGGCAGGAATGTACAGTGGAGAAAGGACAGCCTCTTCAATAAGTGGTGCTGGGAAAACTGGACAGGTACATGTAAAAGTATGAGATGAGATCACTCCCTAACTCCATACACAAAAATAAGGTCAAAATGGATTAAAGACATAACATAAGGCCAGAAACTATCAAACTCTTAGAGGAAAATACAGGCAGGACACTCTTGTGACATAAATCACAGCAAGATCCTTTTGACCCACCTCCTAGAGTAATGGAAATAAAAACAAAAATAAACAAATGGGATCTAATTAAACTTCAAAGCTTCTGCACAGCAAAGGATACCATAAACAAGACCAAAAGACAACCCTCAGAATGGGAGAAAATATTTGCAAATGAAGCAACTGACAAAGGATTAATCTCCAAAATATACAAGCAGCTCATGCAGCTTAATAACAAAAAACCAAACAACCCAACCCAAAAATGGGCAGAAGATCTAAATAGACATTTCTCCAAAGAAGATATACAGACTGCCAACAAACACATGAAAGAATGCTCAACATCATTAATCATTAGAGAAATGCAAATCAAAACTACAATGAGATATCATCTCACACCAGTCAGAATGGCCATCATCAAAAAATCTAGAAACAATAAATGCTGGAGAGGGTGTGGATGAAAGGGAACCCTCTCGCACTGTTGGTGGGAATGTAAACTGATACAGCCACTATGGAGAACAGTATGGATGTTCCTTAAAAATACTAAAAATAGAACTACCGTACGACCCTGCAATCTCACTACTGGGCATATACCCTGAGAAAACCATAATTCAAAGAGTCATGTACCAAAATGTTCATTGCAGCTCTATTTACAATAGCCCGGAAATGGAAACAACCTAAGTGTCCATCATTGGATGAATGGATAAAGAAGACGTGGCACATATATACAATGGAATATTACTCAGCCATAAAAAGAAACGAAATTGAGCTATTTGTAATGAGGTGGATAGACCTAGCGTCTGTCATACAGAGTGAAGTAAGTCAGAAAGAGAGAGACAAATACCGTATGCTAACACATATATATGGAATTTAGGGAAAAAAATGTCATGAAGAACCTAGGGGTAATACAGGAATAAAGAGACAGACCTACTAGAGAATGGAATTGAGGTATGGGGATGGGGAAGGGTAAGCTGTGACAAAGCGAGAAAGAGGCATGGACATATATACACTACCGAACGTAAGGTAGATAGCTAGTGGGAAGCAGCCGCATAGCACAGGGAGATCAGCTTGGTGCTTCGTGACCACCTGGAGGGGTGGGATAGGGAGGGTGGGAGGGAGGGAGACGCAAGAGGGATGAGATATGGGAACATATGTATATATATAACTGATTCATTTTGTTGTAAAGCAGAAACTAACACACCATTGTAAAGCAATTATACTCCAATAAAGATGTTAAGAAAAAAAAAGGGAAGGAAAAAGAAAAAAAACTATTTCTTAGATTTAAAAGACATTTTTGGTTTTCCTCTGAATTATAAAAGCAATCCAGATTAACTCAAGAAAATCTGGAAAATACACAAAAGGTATAAAGAAAACTGCGAAGCTGTTTGTGATCTTACAAACTATAAGGAACCACTGTAAATCCCATAGTATATTCCCTTTTAGTAAACTTTCTGTTTATACAGTGTGTTTTTCTTTTTCACTTATGCAAACAGGTTATCAAATATGCCACTTCATATCTGGGTTTTTTTTTCCATTTAAAATGAATTTCCCACGTCATTAAACATTTTTATGAAGAGCTTTAAATGACGTAAAATAATATTACATTATGTGAAAAGCACAACATGTAAAATTGAATGAGCTCAGCTACATACACACACAAGACAGAAAACTGAAAGAAAAATACACCAAAATGTTAAAGCTGATAGTCTCTAGATGGTAGGATTACCAGTGATTTTTGACACTGTACTGTATCTTCACAGTTTTCTACATTAAGCATAGCATACCTTTTTTGAGTGTCCACGTGTATTTAAGAAGGAAAAAAGCAAATTGTAGAACGATAAAGATAAAGGGCCTTTGGAAACAAAAGTAGACTATAAAGATAAAAGCATTGTCACAGTTCAGAAAGATCTTTAACTTCAAAGTAGTTTTCACATTTTTCTAATGAGAAATCAGAGTCCAACCTAGTTCATTAACGGTGTAAAAAAAACATTACAGACTAGAATCAGGGCTCAGATCCAAAACATTTCACTGTCCCTCAGCAGCCAAGATGACAGCTAAGCCTACTTAAGATGACTGAGATGAAGGACAGTTTGTGCTGGACTCAGCGGGCATAGATGCACACCTTGTTGAACATTGTAAGCCATGGCATTCCTAGTCATGCTGGAAGGAAGCCAGCCTGCCAAGCTTGCACGCTGTGGTTTTGTCCCTTTGTGTTTGACATCCTCGCCATCCCAGATGATATCATCCTCCCAATGCAGCTGTGTCACCATCAGGAAGTTTTCATCAGCCAGAAGATCAGTGCCACTGCTTTCCTCAAGTTTCCTGAAGTCCTACACAAGTAGGAGAGGAACAACAAATCCCTGAATGGTCACTTGTCAGAGTTCCCACTCCAAATGCCACAACAGATACATCAAGTGTGGTCCCTGACTTGAGAGAAGAACCTGATAACAAAGGGGTATCTGCCTCCTCCCACTCCTAGTCTGGCACAGCACTCATCTCACAAACAGAATCCTTGCAGTGGGGCCAAGTTGCTAGGGTGATATACCACACGAAACAAAAGGCTTCGACACCTCAATCTCCCACCAAGGAAACCCTACCCAGTGTCTCCCCAGTTGAAAAGTAAAGTAAAACTGATAGGGCTCTGGGCACAGTGATTCCTTTCTTACATACCAGTGTTACTTACCTCCATCATTCTACATTTCATCACAGGTTCAAGTTCCATCTTTCTCAGTTTGAAGCCATAGTCAAACCCACTGCCATCTTCAGGAACACCCAGCATATCATACCACAGCCTAGCAGGACCATAACGCCACTCAGCCACTCTTGGCTTGGTGTCTGTCACTTTATCTGTATCTCCAGTTGACTGGGAAAACTTGGACTCCACAGGAGCCATCATTGTGATCTGTAACAGAATAAAGTAGAAGGGGGGGAAGATATCCTGATCCCAGATGCTCTAAGGCTACAGGGAGTTAAGAGGCAGGAGGGGAACTTAGAGGAGCCGTAAGGATGATTCTTGAACAGGACTGGAGTTCGAATGTAAACAATGGAGGTATATCATGGCATACTCTATCATTCAACTTTCCTACTCATCAGTGTATCACCATCTGCCTGTCCCCAATACTTTTCTATTACAACAGGGAAGGGACAGCCACTGGGATTGAAATCGTGATTACTTAATGATAATCAGCACAGGACACTACCTGCTAAGGTATCATTTTCAATTTAGACATAAGCTAGGGAGAACTCATTTGTTCCCCTCTTAGGTCTTAATTCCAGATCTCTACTTTGCCTACTTCATCATCAGAGAGACACTGCTCTGGAGGTGGTGGTGGAGCGTAGTCGTAGTTCCACAAAGATTTCTGGTTGACTTCTGATTCTACTGAGCACTCCACCTCCTGGATCTGCTCTTCCTGTATTAGTTCACGGTGCTTCTTCTTCCTCTTTCTCCGAGCACTCCGCCAAACAGATGGGACATTCTTCCCTGGTCCAAAAAGACGTAGGAAGCGTAACACCTAGAACACAAAACGTGCTTCTATGTCAGAGACTCAATGTCAGATAGGAAAACAGTAGCTCTGAGTCTGGAAACTCCCTTGAGGATTCTACTCAACTGTGAGGGAGGGATCAAGAAATGCTGAACTCAGATTTATAACATCTGCCAAGAAAGTAAAGTGTTCATTAATAATTTGGATTAGTTCTTTTTAAACAGAAAGGACAATTTCTAATGAGAACTATATAAATCACATGTACTATCAATGCACAAAACTTAAAAAAAGGAAACCTTTAGATTCTACCCATTCCATATTCAATATCTTAACAACACAACTCAGTATCTACAAGAGGGCAGTGGTTTGCAATGTGGACATTCTCCATAGAAAGTACCTTCCCAGGACGAAATTCTGGGAAAAGTTCTGTGACACTCGGCAACAGCTTGGTGGCATCATGCTGCATAATCCCAGCCAATGGTAGGGTCAGCTTTCCATCCTCAGATTCTGCCTGTGTTGCTTCCTGAGGTCCCATCTCAGATTCTGAGTCAGAGGAACTACTGAAGTCCACTTTCTCTGAGGCCAAAGAGGAAGGGGCAATGATGGAGGGCAAGATGATGCCTTCTCCATCCTCAGACACTGCAACAAGGAAGAGAAACCCCTTTGGCATGTAACTGTGAGCATATTTCCTCAAATTCAGCCAACACCCACTCTAGGCTTAAGCATGGCTCAATGGCAGGGGATACAGTTCCAAGCACCCAGATTACTAGTAGGCAACCCGGAAAACTCATTCCAACTCATTATCTCCCACCATCCCCAACTCACCTTGTACCTGGTACCCTGGGGTTGTGATGAGAGAAAACAAACACTATTACTACATTTACTACTTTCTGTAAGTATATTAGGTTAAAGAAATGTGACCAATAGAAAAATTATATAACACTTTTATACCAGTCAGGCCTTATGTCCGATTCAGGGACCCATAAACTGGAGAGATTTTTTTAAGCCCACAGGGTAACAATGAAATTATTTAGCATAAAATAAGATCTATGCCACAAATGCTACTTAGCCTGCAGACTAAAAAGGAAATGGCTTAAAACTCTAATAGGAGACACTTAGGTTGACATAAGCCTCAAAATACAGGAGATCAAAGATACTGCTCTTCCCCAATCTTCTAGCCTAGAACAGGGTTACTTACTGCTGTTGCAGACATAGGAATAGGTGAGACGATCATTAAAGACCCTGCCTTTGAAATCTCTGACTCTGACAGGTGGCTCTAAATGATTTATACACATTCTATTTAATCATTAATACACATTCTATTTAATCATTTCTTTTAAAGAGAGTCATCTAAACAGGTAGATTCCAAATACCAGTACAGATCAGTTGCATCAGAAACTGCTTGGGGGAATTCTCTGAAATCCCTGAGCTCTACCTCAGATCTTCTGAATCAGATTCTCCAAGGGTGACAGTCAGAAATCTGTATTTTTTTAAAAGACTCGAGGTGATTCTGATGGGCAGCCAAATTTGAGAACCACACTGACCTAAACTACTTTTTCTTGACCTAAACTACTTTTTCTTTTAAAAGTAAAATTTCCCTTTAATACTGAAATTTGAAAATTGTATGAATCACTTCTAGAAGTTGTGTCCTTTCCTAGCAGCTTAATTTTAATAGCCCACTATGAGCATGCCAAAAATTTGGACCAGGAATGGAACTTGCTCCTCAGACAAAAATAGACAGTCTCTACTTACCACCAGTAATAGCATCCTGGTCCTTATCCTTCTTCATTGGTCCTGGGGGTGGAGGTGGAGGAGGCATCAACTTGCAATCAATGTCTTCACAATCAGCATCATAGTCATCCTCATCATAATCTAATAAAACCAAGAAAGTGATCTCCTCAATATCCAGAATGTCACACAACAGCCTTGAGCTCCCTTGTCGTTCAAGAATTTAAAGCACCACATGAAGAACTAGGCAGATGCCTTGACAACACACAAGAGATGCAGTTTCTGCCTTCAGAAAGAGATGGCACCATATTGCCAAGTGCTATGAACACCATGTATATCTCACACAGGAATTTAGGAAGCTCCCAAGAACTGTTTAAAACCTTTGCTCCTTCTCCTGGTCAAACCCTGTTCCTTTATTTTCATGCTACTCAATCTCATAACGGAATTGAACATTCTTCTTTCCTCTGTCAGCTTAAGACTGGACTTTTTTCTCACCTCCCAAGTCTTTGACACATTTTTTTCTGTCTACCTTCTATAGTCTGTTATTCTTTTCACTACCCTTTAACCAATGGCATCACTCAATACTTAGTCCTGAACACTCTGCTTTTATTCCTCTATACACTCTCCATTCCCTTTCTAAAGAATCACCTTTATCCAGACTAAACTCAAATCTGTTCAGTCTTGCCCTGACTTAGCCCCTCTACAATTGCACTGCATGTTCTGCTGCCTGAAGAGCTTTTCCATTCATATATTCAACAACCGCATTCTGTATCACACTGAAATATCCTTCAACTCTTTTAAATTCCCTTTTGTTACTATCAATACCACCTCCATCCTCATTTTCCCAGCTTATGATTTTAGCCTCCTGTCTCCTTCATCAATCTCTTACCCCCAACACACCTTTTCCAATCAATCATTAATAGTAGTCATTATAGCAACTTCTATTCACTGAGCTCCCATTATGTGCCATGTACTTTTAGCTATTTTATCTATAATCCTCCCAATAATGCTACAAAGTAGGAATTATTCTGAGATACAGAAGCGAAGTGACTTAGGGCCATACAGTTTTAAGTGACAAAAGTCAGAATTCAAGCCTGGTTTAACAACAGTGTCTTTCCAACACGCTTGCTCACTCACCAAGTTCTACCGATGTTTTATCAGCAACTCTCAAGTCTGACACTGCCTATCATTTTCCACAACTGTCACCCTATTCCAGACCTTGATAACTTTTGATAACTTTACATCTAGCCCACAAGAACTGTCTCCAAGTTAGTCTGCCCCTTCACCCTTTTTCTAATCAAAACCCCAAAGCAACAAGCATCACTTTTCATTTTCATTTAGGAAGGAAAGACAACTAACATTTATAGAGCATCCACCACGACACTGTTCTATGTAGGTGCTTTCATACCATGTGATAATGAACTTGAATTCCCACCAAAGTCCTATTAATGAGGTAGGTATTAATACACTTATTGCAGAAAGAAAACTGACGGATTACTACAAATGAGAAATCCAAGCCTCAGAGACTGAGCAACTTTCCCAGGGTCAAACTAAATATGGAGTTGGGACTTGAACCTATGACATTCTGACTCCAAAGTCCATCTTCTTTTCATTATACCATCCTGCTTCTTACTCAACAATCTATATCAGTTTACAATCCTTTATGGCAGCAAACCCCAAGTAATGCGTACATAAAGGTGCTGTCAAATTGCTCTATGGTTGGTTCTTACTATTTGGTGTATGTTTTCCACTCCTTCCAAGAAAACTTGCTGGCCAATTCCCCCCACACTACTTGCTTATTCCTATCTCCCAACCTTTATGCAAGCCATGTTTCCAAACCACAATGCCCTGCTGCGACCTCTTCATCAAACCTTATCTTTCAAAATTTTGCTCAAAATTCACCTCCATGAAGCCTCTTCTAATGACCTCCATCTACTTCTAATTATTCCAAAGAAACACCCTTATCAATCAAGCCATGTGAAAGGGCCAATGCCAGGGAAGGAGGAAGCTAAGGGCATAGATGAAGGTACCCTCAGAGGACAAGAGAACTTGGAAATGAGCTTCCCACAGTACTGAGATTCTATCAAATACAGCATCCTCCTTTTCCAGGAGGCCAGCTCACACAACCCAACTAAGAACCCCCCACCTATCCTCTTCCTTACCATCCCTAGCCAAGACAACAAATCCAAAACTGAAAACTATAACATGCCCTGAAAAATCAGATCTGCTACCACCTCCTCCTCAGCCTAAGTCAGGGTGCTCAAACAAATAGTTATGCTATTTGACTTAGCTAGTCTGGCAGCCCTTCAAAATTAAGTATAACACTCTATACAGAAATACGAGCTGGCAACTGGTTTATGTCTTCTTATTATGAATAATTATGTTTTGCAGTCATTTATCTCACCTTCCCCAAATGATAACAATATCCCTGAAAGTAAGGCCAGTACCTTCTATTTTTCTAGGTTACTTCTTGTGTATGTGGTGCAGTTAATTCTCTTTATATAAGAAGCACCCAAATATATTAACTGGCTCTGAAGAAACTAAGTTCAGCTCTTTACCAAGGTTTTATCTATACTTCTCAGCAGCCTGAAATCTAATTCAAAGAGGTGGATAATGAATAAACAGTGAACAACTTCATACAAAAGTCCCAAACAGTGAAAGGTAGTACAGGGCAGTGGAAAGAATGAACTAGGATCAGCAAGTCTAGGTTCCAGACCACAAAGCCGAGCTACTCAAAAATCAGAAAATGGATTTTATTATCTTTGTACTTTACTATCACAGTTTATAACACATAACGGGTGCTCAATGCCTAATAAACTGAAATGCTGAATTAGTCAAGGTCTGCCACTAGTAACTACAGAAATTTTGATAAAGTTCCACATTTTATTAAAGTTTTCTGAAGTTCCAGGTTTCCATATCTATGATGAGGTTAAGAATAAATAATCACTAAAACCCCTTCAAACTCTGACATTTTGATTCTATAATGTAGCACCTTATACTAGGAGGAAAACCCATGTTGTGAGCAAGCATTAAGCGCACTGTGTCGGCATACAGGTAGTGAGTGATTAACAGAAGCTGAGCCGATAAATACATGTGCTTGTTTATATACAACATAGCATACTTAATCTTTCTTCAACTACCAATTCCTTGAGGACAAAGACTGAGTTTAAATAGCATCTAAAACAGTACTGTGAACCCCATAGGTACTCAAATACCAGATGATAAGGAGAAAAGAATTATCATCCTTATTTGGCATTCACCAAGAATTTGGGACTAACCAGTATGAGGAATAAAAGCCTGAGTATAGTAACGCTGCCCCAGAACACAAGAGGACAGCAGCTACTTGGAACTGAGCTGACAAAGGGAGAGAAGCAAAGACATAAAGAGCAGAAACAACGACAGAAAGCTTGGATAGAAACAAACTGGACTACACAGCAAGAAAATGTACTGGAGTGCTCTTAACTGATGGCACCAAAGAATCACCTGCATGGCAAAGGGGCTGCAAGGTCCCCATTGTTTGCTGGTATCTTCGGCTTTCATCTTCTGCTACCTCATTAATGTCTGAATAGTCCACAGCATCTTCTGTACTCCTGATCCATCCTATAAATAAAAAGGGGAGGTAGATCTAAACAAAGAGCAAGAAACTTTAGCTCCCTTAGATAATTCCCACTGAAAAGTACATGTACAGTAAGTGGCTAGCCTCCTCCCCCACCTTACTCCCCATGACCCAGACTTCACCTTCATCATTTACCAGGGCACCGTCAGTCCCGATCAATTCTTCATTTGCTGTGAGTTCAGTGATCAGGCTGCCCAGACCCAAAGCCCCCAAGCCTGCCAAGCGCTTCTTACACTCCTAAAAAAGGGACAGCACCAGAATCAAAGACAATACCTAAACCTAAGTTTCCCACACCACAAGGCTTATTTCCCAGATCCACGACAAAGCTATAAATCCATCTGAAAAACGACTCGGCAGCGTGCTAAAAGCAGCATCACATCTGAGAACTGTAAAGTACATCTTCCACTAAACTCCACATTGATCAGATCTTTATTAACATATCATGTCCAATTTCATCACCATCCTTTAAACTAATGTAAGGAAAGATTATTCAAGGAACACCCACCAAGACTAAATAAGTGGAACAGCAGTTGCCTGAATAAAGGCTAAGGAAACTGAGGTCATTCCGATCAGAGAAAGCAAGGCAAGAACTTTACTGCTGTCTTTATTGTGTGTTGCAGGGAATGAAGAATATTGGTATTTTCTCCTTGGGGAGACGAACTTAAATGAAGCTAGGTGAGTGTCAGGCGCAAGAAACTATTTCATGAATGTCAGTGAACGATGGGAAAACTATGTAAGAAGTGCACTGGGACCAGAAGGGGTCTGCCCTGGATAGTTCGAACACTGGCTGTTCTAAGAACTGGGACCTGAACCACGTGATTTGGTGCAGGTCCTGTCCTCTCGCTCTAGAGCCTCCTCTAGCCAGCGATGGCACAAACGCAGTTTCAAGAATCTCCAAAGTTCTCGTAGCAAAGGTTTGAAAGCACTCTCACTAGGTTAAGCTGCTATTTCTCCATCTAACTAGCTCCAAAGCCACCCATATCAGCGCCGCTGACGTCCCAGAGCTTGCCTACTGTTCTCCTCTCGTCTCCACCCTCGCCCAAACTGAGCCCCCTCGCTCTCCGTTACTGCACAATCTTTGCTAGCATGGCAACCACTTCTCTAGTCCTCTTCGCGTACGTTAAGGGCGCCCTCTCACTGGGGGAGGGCCGCATCGCCCTCTTTTTCCAGTTCCTAAGACCACTCAACTCTCCTCACTCCACCTTTTCCTTAGCCGATCCACCCCCAGCCCTATCCCCACGCCCATCCCCTCACATCATCCAAGACGCTTTCCCCCTCCAGCTGCCCGGCTCCATTAATGTTGCCGAAAAGGAAACCGGCTAAAGAAAATGGGCCGCCTCCAGCGGAATCTTCATCGCTGTCCGTGTCTGACATGATGGCGGCGTCGATGCGGGCAGCCGCTACGGGGAAGAGGAAACCCCAGCCTCGTCCCATAGTCCGGAAATAAACTGTCATGTCGACCAGAAGTGACTCACAGAGTTCAGTGACCCTACCAGCCCCTACCGGATGCGGAATAAAGAAAAACAGAACCGGAAAGGCCGCCAGTCCTACGAGAAAGGAGAATTGGTGTCACTACATTACTAGAGGCTTTTGATTGGATTATATGCGATCAGGAGGCTGGATCTGTGAAAAGCGGTTAGTCAGAGAAAACGTTCGCTCCCGCCCCCTTCCACTTATCTAAGCAGGAGCTGTCTCAGTGTACTGGGGGGAGAGTGCTTCCTAGGTCACGTGATCTACGTACTGGTAACCGCAGGTAACCACGCCACAGGACATGGAAGTAAAGATTAGAACCGGTTTTTCTCGTCTGTGTTGTCTCCTCTTGTACTGTTTCGTTCCAAAGAGAAACTGGCAGTGTGCCAAAGGTACCTTTGCAGTTAGTTGTTTTGAATTAAAATTTACCCTTAGAAATGGACTTTCTCCCCCCCTGTTTTTTTCGGGAAATGTGAAACTAAAAGATAAGTAAAACGAACAGGCGAACCTTAACCTAGATTCACAGTTTTAACATTTTGCTAGGTTTGTTTTCCTGAACCATTTAAAAGTGGGTTACGGATATCGTGATTCTTCACCCCTAAAAATACTTTTTTCAACACAACCACAATACCATTAGCACATATTTAAAACTTAACATTAATTCAGTATCATTTAACATACAGTCCGTATTTAAATTTCCAAAATTGTCCTAATTGGAGCATTTTACATTTCAATCCGGGATCCACTCAAGGTTCATGCATTGTATTTGTTTATCTCCCTTTAGTCTCTCAATCCAGAATCGACCAGCTTTTTTCTTTGTGTTGCATGACCGTACGTATTTGGAAGTTGTCTTGAAGGGAAGGGAAGTTGTCTTGAAAATATTCTATATGCTGAATTCGTCTAATCTTTTCTTCAAAGTGATTCCGGTTAAATATCTTACCGGTCATCAGAAGGCACAATGTCAGGTTGTCCCAATGTTGGTGATACTAAATTTGATCACTTCAAAAAGGTGTCCACCAGATCTCTCCGTCGCAATGACACATTTTTCCTTTTGTATTAGTAAATAACCTATGGGGTGGTACTTTGAAATTCTGTGAATATTCTGTTCCCTATCCCCTTGCACCCAAAGGTTTTAGCATCCGTCGATGATCCTTGCCTGAATCAATTATATTGGAAGAGTGCAAAAGGGTGATTTTTCTAATTCTTAATTCCTTCTACATTTATTAACTGGACTTATTCAGTAAAGAACTTTCCTTTTTCTTATCTCCTTTCTTGTATTTTTATTTTAATGTGTTACAATCTAACACCATCATTATCCTTTTTGATCCTCAAACTGTTACAAATTTGTCCAATGGTTACCACTTCACTCTGGCTCCTGTGTCCTTTTGACATGACCCCAATTAGTCTTTGGGCACTTCCTTGCTTTTTGGCACAAGATGTTCCAGGCTCACTCTGTGCATTCCCTGTCCTGGGTCTGATATAAGCCATTTCTCCAAGGAGCCCTGGTTCCTTTTAGTGGGGAATGGTGTTTAGAAACTGGGGCATCGGGAATTCCCTGGTGGTCCAGCGGCTAAGACTCCGCCCTCCCAATGCAGGGGGCCCAGGCTCGATCCACATGCAGCAACTAAGAGTTCGCGTGCTGCAGCTAAAGATCCCGCGTGCCGCAACTGAGACCCGCCACAGCCAAATAAATATTGTTTTTTAAAAACAAAACTGGGTCATCATTGCTTGTAGGCCCTTTCAGTGGAGAGAGAGAAAAAATTTTAAATTAATGAGTTTATACTAATACCTTCGATTCAAATCTAATACCACAGGGTTCTCCCTCGCCGTTCCCCATTTCATATTTGTATCTTGCTTCTCTTACAATGAAAACTCTGGTTCCTAACACCAATATATTACTCTTTTCAGAATTACAAGACCAATACCACTACCAACAATTAACCTAAGTAAAGTTCAGAAGTTCTTCGCAGTTTTCTGTCCTTAGACTATATCCTATTAAAAATTACGTGAATCTTTTTTTTTCCTCTGTGGAGTTGTTTCCGTTTGTATTCAACTTCAGGATTTGCTTTTATTGTCCTTTTTAATAAAAAGGATAAAAATTTTATAAAATTTTTATTTTTAAAAAATGTAAACTTTTACATGGTTCAAAGTCAAAACTATTTAAAAAGCTATTTCCAGAGAAGTCTTGCTCCCATGCCTACGCTCTCTGCCCCATTGTCACCCACTCCCTGTAACCATTTTCATTAATTTCTGGTTTATCCTTCGTTTATTATTTTTTCAATTGAGGCGTAATTGACATTAACATTAGTTTCAGATGTACAGCATGATTCGCTATTTGTATTTCCTTTTTCTTTTTGAAAATATATGCAAATGAGTATGTTCTTATCTCTTCTTTTTCGTTATATACCCATGTATTGTTTGATTCCGTTTATATGAAATGTTCAGAAAAGACAAAGATTAGTGGTTGCCTAGGGCTGGGGGTGGGAACGGGGATTAACCGCATGAGGGATCTCTTTGGGGTGATGGAAGTGTTCTCAAACTTAATTTTGGTGATGGTTGCATGACTCGGTAAATTTACTAAAAATCATTAAATTGTACACTTGAAATAGGTGAATTGTACAGTATGTAAATTATACCTCAATAAAGCTGTTTTTAAAAAAACACAAAACATGGTTTTGCACTTCTTTACTCACCAGCGCTATTTACAGTTGCCAGCCAGGATTGGGGGGGTTCTTTGTGTTTTTTTTGGGGGGAGGAGATCGAACCCACTCCCTCAGCAGTGAAGGCACAGAGTCCTAACCACTGGACCACCAGGGAATTCCCTAGTTCATTTTTATAACAAACGGGAAGATTTTTCTGAGATAACTGGAAGAGGCAAAAAATATTAAATGATATATCTTATCTTCACAACCCAGCCCCTAGCACAGTCAAGCCTGTAACACAGTAGGAGCTTGATAATTGTTTACTGAATGTAGTGTAATAAGTGAGGAAAATCACCAACAGGGAACTAACTGGTCTGTCATTATTGAAAACCAGGAAATGAAGCTAAATCCTGGGGATGAATAGGTAGGGGGTGGGCAGGAACTAGACAATCAATGTTAGCAGGGCAGACAGTTCCTTACCCTGATTATCTGATGTAGAGAAATAAGCACAGCTACACATAGGTGCCATGTGCAATATGACAATTATAGTTATTTCATCCTTTGCAAGCTGAAAAGCATTTAGAAACCACTCAAAGCAAAGGGGTGGTGGGGAGGAATTGCTTTGATTTTTAGAAAACGATGGACCCAGTAAAATCAGAAAAGTTTATTACCATTCCTTATGAATAATTTAAAAGTGATATTAGCATGTTAGTCTTCATACAAATTCCTTTCAAGTATAAAAACCAAGATGTCAGTGTATGCTTAAGACTACTAAATCAGACCAATACAAAACCACTCTCTCAGACTTGTGGATCACACCTCCATTTATTAGAGGACACAAATTTGCCCAAACCAAACCCAGGCTTACATTTGGGAATTTGCCAGGCAAAGGGAGAGCAGGAGGCACTATTAAATTAAAAGCCAACTTAAAAGATTTCAGTAGCTAATTAGAAAGTTCCCAGAGACCCAGGTGACAGCCATGTTTCTAACCCCTTTGAACCGTGAAGTCCCGTGAGCACCCAAGGTGGCATCAATCAGAACATCCTGAGACTGGAATACACTTTCATTTGGCTGCCTTTGGGAAAACCCAGTGACTCTACCCAAGGGCAGTGGGCACAGTGCCCAGAAGCCAGTTGACTTCTACGGTGGCCACGTTACTGTAACAGCAGCCCCACTTTCCAAAGTGCTACTGGGCCTTAGTTGAGGAGGTCCACCCTCACCCTCTTCCAGTTGACTCACTTCTCATACATAATCCCTGCCACCCCCAGGAGGCCCTGAGTCACACACTGGAAAACAGATACAATACATTGGACCTGAGATAGAAGGCAAGCGCTGGACAACAGTATTCATCCTGGATCCTCCACAGCTTTAGACAATCAGCAGTGTAGAAATATACACCAGTGAAGTACTATGTGAAGTGGAGGGTACAGTCATGAAGGAAAAAGAAAACAAAACACTAGTCCACCGTGAGGGAAAAGGCAACCAGAAGAAAAGGAGGAAGAATAGAGAATTTACATAACCATTTTTAGAAAATATTTATTTATTTATTTATTTTGGCTGCACCAGGTCTTAGTTGAGGCAGGCGGACTTCTTAGTTGCGGCAGGCGGGATCTAGTTCCGCGACCAGGGACCAAACCTGGGCCCCCTGCATCGTCAGCGCAGAGTCTTACCCACTGGACCACCAGGGAAGTCCCTACATAACCTTTTATCTTCTATCAATACTTGATATTTGACCTCCAGTTTCCAGGTTCTCCAAGAGTAGGGTTGCCAGATTTAGCAAATAAAAATACAGGATGCCCCATTAAATTTGAATTTCAGATAAACAGCAAATAATTTTTTAGTGTAAGTGTGTCCCAAATATTGCACGGAACACACTTATACTAAACAATTATGGTATTTTATCTGGCAACCCTATTCAGGAGGTTCAGTTAGCCTGAGGTTACTCTGATCATATCCCGTCAAAGAGCAACAGCAAGATGATCACAGAGCGAAGCTCAGGCACTCCACCCACCCCAAGGGAAGGTATGTGTTCCTTTTAGCTCCATTTCCCAAACTCTCAAAAATCCCATGCTGTTCTGGCAGGGTGAGAGGATCTGTGCACGGTGGAGTTGTCAACCACTATTTGCCAGGTAGAGAAGTTAAGGTTTCCTTCCATATCAAATGAAGAAGGTCAAAAATACAACTAGGGAGAAGGAGCAGCAGGCCCGCTGGGATATGGAATCTGACTCCTTCCACCCCGAGAGCAGGCTGAGCAACTCCAGCAACACCATCACAAGGGCGACGACAGCCCTGCGGCCTGGAAACCCAACGTACCCCAGCTCTCTTGGAGCAACCTCAAAAGGCATACAGGGCTGAACAAACACACAGGGAGATATACAGAGGCGGGAGGAACAGGAAGAGAGCAAGGTAGTCTTTATAGTGACTCAGAGGAATGACAGCAGAAGAGAAGTATCAGAGGGAATCACAGAACCCCCTGACAGTGACTGGCAGGACATTTTATTTCGTTGGTCGTTTCATTGGTTTTATTTAGGGGGTTAATCTTCAGTGGTCTTTCCTTCAAGCGGAAGGATGATGAGAGAAAAAAGAGCCACACAGAAGCCTCAGAGACACAGCTCTTCAGAGGGACTGTTCATTACACATCACCGTGCCTATTGTGCTAGCAGAATCCAAGAGCAGATCTGAACATCAGATCCCACAGCCAATATACTATCGTGACTAAGTGCCAAACCCACCTCCTGAGGATGGAAGAGGAACCAATAACAAGGCCATGGCTGGTAAACATTCCTCTCAAAGGCAATGAAGAGGGAAACAGCACAAAGAACAGGACCACATTATGCTTTTTTCACAGTCTCCGCCATGAGAATTCCCAGTCCCTTGTAATCCAGCATCTCTGAAACTGTGTTCCCAGAGATGTTAATAGGTGTTGCATGGGGCCAAAAAACAAAAGTTCAGTGAAATAAGTTTGGGAAATATTGCATACTTATTAAAAGTTATAACTTCCTGCAGTAGAAGAAACTATTCGGCATTATTTAAATCACTGGTTCCTGCCTTATTTGACCACAGAACCCTTTTAAGAAACATCTATTACCATCTCACAGAACTCTAGAAATGCTGCTTAACCATTATTGCAAAAATATCTCCTCTCAAGAATGGAAAGAGCATGTCAACATTGGGAACACCCAGGAATCACACATAAGATGGTTTCCAAAAATTAGTATATCAGAAAGCTTAAGGCAATGATTTGAAAATTTGGAGAACCTTGTCCTTCTGTGAGGCACTTGCTCAACGGTAAATACAGCCAGGAACGCTGAAATTAGATTTTAAACAGCCAAGCAAAAGCCTACAAACAACAGTGCTAGGCTGCTCTGCTTAGTCGTGGCCTGGCCAGGACAGAAAAGAACAGCACTTGGTGGCATCTCCTCTTACCACTTCGACAGGAGAGACACACACACTCACTCTCTCAAACTTCCTCCAAAAGGTTCAGACCAAACTTCAAAGCAGCCAAGTGCAAACTAGCCTCTCCTTGTTCCTCCAAAAGCTGAATAACCTGGAGTCTAGGGTTTCCAGGGGAAGAGATAAGTGGCTCACGCTGGCATTGTTAAATGCTGTCAAAGGAATTCCCCCTTATTCTCCTTAGGTGCAGTCCCCAAGCAGCACCCCAAAAGCTATAAGAGGACACACTTCTTGCTGTTCTTCTTTGTGGCAGGGTAAAGCACAGCCCGGACAGCTTCTGAAAATACCTCATGGACCCCATCCTGCATCAGGGCTGAACATTCCAGATACTTCACAGCCCCCACCTGCTTAGCCAGGGAAGTGCCTTGCTGAGGAGTTGTGGGCACTAGGCTCTGTTCCTTCAGCTTCTTCACTGTCTCAATGTCACTTCGCAGGTCCCTCTTGGTGCCTACCAGCAAAACAGGTACATTGGGGCAATGATGGGAGACCTCTGGGTACCACTTATGCCTCACATTGGCATAAGAAGATGGGTTGCCAATGGAAAAACAAATGACGAAGATATTGGTCTGGGGGTAGGAGAGTGTTCGCAGTCGGTCATACTCCTCTTGGCCAGCTGTGTCCCACAGGTTCAGGCTGACGATCTGGCCGTCCACAGATGTCTGGGCACTATAGTTGTCAAAGACAGTAGGGATATACTCCTCGGGAAAGGCGTTTGTTGTGTAACTGATGAGGAGGCAGGTCTTACCTACAGCCCCATCTCCTACAACCACACATTTAATCGTCTGCATTCTTCCCTTGGAGTCCTACAGACAAGAGAGAAAGAAAGAATGTTCACAGACGTCTGGTTAATTTAGGGAGCCTAAGCCCTATAAACATTTCTCTCTGAGAAGAAAGAAAGGAGGTGAGACCCCCCCCACCGCCACCGCCACTTGCCTGGCCTCTTAACACTATGGAAGAGTCAGCTGCAAAAGGTTGCAGAGGGCAAGAATTCTTACCATGGAGTCCATGGACTGCTAGAGGATAAGCTTCAGTAGATTCTAGAAGCCACCTCTGCAGTTATGTGCAATATTATGTGCATAAGGAAATTTTTCTGGAAAGAAGATCCAAAGCTGTCATCAGACTCTCAAAAAGGACTGTGAGCCCAACAAGATAGGTTATTTATGTTGCAGTATCGTCATAAGGTCTGCATATACAGTATCAAAGGTTCTAAAATATAGCAGATGCTAAATAAATGTTAACTAATTAAAAAACAAAAAAATTGGTATAGAAAGAAGGTTCCCAAGGTTGAAACGAAAGGAAACATGTCTCTTACTTTGGGTCTGTGGCTATAGACTCAGCAAAGGACACTCTGTTCCTGAAAAAGTGACATCATAATATTGGAGAGAAAGGTAGGCCAGTCAGACTCAGCCATATAGAGAAGTGGCTAAGAGTCCAGACTCTGAAGTCAGACCTCCTGGAGTCGAAAATCAGTCCTCTCTTTTCCTAAGCTTTGTGAAACTCGGGCAAGTTTTTAACCTGAAGCTTACATGAAAGAATGCATGTGCTGTACTTATTAGTGCCTGCCACATAGGAAGTACTCATTAAGTGTTAGAAGCTACTATGACTTCACAGAAATTACTAATCTGCCGGGGAAGGCAAAAGTTCTATAATGTGAGTACAATGCTAGACAAACCAGGGGGTCTCACCCCTTCCGACCTTATCTGAGTAAAACTACAGGTCATAACACCACTATATTCTCGTCCATTTCTTCATGAATCAAGTATTTGCGAGGTAATGGTACAACACAGATGATCTCCAAGGAGCATGTTTACTATGAGCTCCCATGTCTGTATCCCCTTATTAATATTCTGTCAATGCCCTACTGTGTCAGTGCCTCCACAGCACTCCATTTTCTTTAGCTTCTTAACTAGTACCCTAATTTCAGATCCAATCCTCACGGCACTAACTTCAAGTGTCCGAACATGGAGGAAAGGGGACACATTATCATATGTATTTGATTATGGAAAAAAATTTGAGAATCAATTAGTTTCTCACCTTGGGAATGTGGGGGAATAGACACATTCCCCCATCCTGCTGTCTTATTAGCTAAGGTCTACATTAGGTCCATATCATAGACAAAAACCAGACAAAACAAAACAGCTCATTTTGGGTGAAGGTAAAAAAAAGTTGGCCTTCTCAGCATGCTTCGCACAGGCCCGCTAGGGGTAGCTCTCTCCTCACACAGCCAGCTCTGCCCAGTGAGGCGTTCCACCTAGAAGGCTTCCTTTCCTTGGCACAGGTCCCACAGCTAAAAGTCCAGAGCCTGATTCAGCTCTAGTAGGCAGTCATCCCAGAAGACTCACTGACCATAGCTGTCTTTTTCCATCTAGGAATACGCATGAGGATCAAACACACAAGGTCAATGGAAACAGGGCAAAGTCACCACCACACTCCTTGAGAATAGCCTTCCTTGACTTTCCCAGTTTGGATTAATTTCTTTTGCCTCTGATAGCAATCACTCCCTGTACAACTCATCTTTCCAGCCGCCTCTAGGTATCATCCGGTGTCTCTGCTCAAAGTGACAACAGTGCATCTGAGGGGGTTGCTGAACCAGAGCAAAACTCTTAGGCACAAAGACCGTTTTGCATCCGAAGTTCAGCTCCTCACCTCTATAACTAGGAAGAGCCATCTACACTCTTTTCTACTTGTTTACGTCTACCAGTACTCCTGGTATATATAATAAATACCAGGCCTACATGATGAAATGCACCTAGAACATCCCAGGTCTAAACAAAACCAAAACATCCTCACCTATAGCAAACTCTCAAAGAAAGGGAAGGTTCAGCAGAAGTGGGGGGGCTGCTTTGTACAGTTGACTCATTCATTCAGCCCACATATTCATTATACGATTTTCTCTGCTTGTGTGTATATTTGAAATTCTCCATATTTAACAAGTTTAAAAATAAGACTAAAAAATATAATCCAAGAGAATTGAAGACAGGATCTCAAAGAGATAATCGCACACCCACGTTCATTGCATCATTATTCACAATAGCCAAGAGATGGAAGCAACCTAAATGTCCATCGATGGACAATGGATAAAGAAGAAAAATATATATGCATATATATATAATTCAGCCTTAAAAAGAAAAAGGAAATCTTTTCATACACTACAACATGGATGAACCTTGAAGACATTATGCTAAGTGAAATAAGCCAGTCACAAAAAGCCAAATATTGCATGATTCCACTTATATGAGGTATCTAGAATAGTCAAATTCATAGAAACAGAAAGTAGAATGGTAGTTGCCGGGGGCAGGGGGAGGGGGAAATGGGTAGTTGTTTAAGGGGTACAGACTTTCAGTTTTTCAAGATAAAAAAATTCTAAAGATCTATTGCACAAAAATGTGCATATAGTTACTGTACTGTACACTTTAAAATGGTTAAAAATGCTAAAAATAAAAATAATACTTTTTAAAGGGCTGGGAACTCTGAGAGAAGGCTAGGAGTTACAAGAGAGAGGCAAATATTCTGTTTATCACCCATATGAGAAAAGCTTGTTTCGTTCAGCTCCAGCATCCAGCACAATGCTGTCCAGTTACAGATCACCCACAGCTTTTCCCTCATCACCACCACTATCCACACACTCTCCCAGGCACTACTATGCACAATGCACTGCTAGGAGAGACTCAAAGAAGGGTTAAAAAATAAAGAACGATGATAGAAGTTTATAGTCTTAGGGTAAAGGCAGGACTTCTATAAAAAGGTAAACAATAATACACAGTAAAGCATGGTCCAGAGAAAAATAAGTTGCTATGAGGAAACAAGGGGAAATTAAAAACTGAGAGCCTGTTACAGGCATTGTGTAAAATACTTTCACATATCTTATTTAAGCTTCATAGTAGCACTGTAAAGTAGACATCACCTCAGCTCAGAGATCACTAAATATGCCTCTAGGATTGGAAATTGGAAGAGGCCTGGAGCTGCAGAGACCAACACCTCAGAAGGCATTCACTTTTAACCTTGGAATTACAGTTTCTTCTAAATCTTCCATTCTCATCTGACAAAGCATCCTTCTTCACATGTACATTTCCCAGCAGTCACTTTTCTCCTAGGTTAGAGGCACAACATAAAAGACCCCATAACTGGACTTCCCTGGTGGCGCAGTGGTTAAGAATCCGCCTGCCAATGCAGGGGCACGGGTTTGAGCTCTGGTCCGGGAAGACCCCACATGCCGCGGAGCAACTAAGCCGGTGTGCCACAACTGCTGAAGCCGGGGCGCCTAGAGCCCGTGCTCCGCAACAAGAGAAGCCACTGCAATGAGAAGCCCGCGCATCCCAACGAAGAGTAGCCCCCGCTCCCGCAACTAGAGAAAGCCCGTGCGCAGCAACGAAGACCCAATGCAGCCAAAAATAAATAAATTTTAAAAAAAGACCCAGTAGCAGTAAAGACAAGAATGTAGCTCAGAGTATTACTATTTCTAGCACATTCTCCCCCCAAGTCTCACCCTTTCCAAAAGTCAAACCCACTTGAAATCACTCTAACTTTCTGAAACTAAGACAATTCAGCAGAAGACCCTCATTTTTATTCACTACTTTCTGCAACTTAGTTATCTACTAAATCCGGGAAGCTTTTTCACATTGAAGACTGACTTTTTGGTTCAAGTCCAGTCAAAGACACCCCAGGGCGAAGGAAGCCATGTGAACACTCCCCAACCCGGAGCCAGGGAAGACTATCCTGCGCTTGGAAACTTAACCAGAGAGGCAATTCTAGTGACCCATCGATAGCCACCGCAAGCCCGCTCGGCCTTTCCCTCACATCCTTTCCACCGAGGGTCCTTGGTTCTGGGACTTCAGATGGACTCGTGAGCCTGGGACAGAGAGGTGCCTCACGTCGGATTCACAAATAGGAAGAGCTGGCTCGATCTCCCCCGCTATACATACAACTCATCCCACTCTCAAATCCCTTCCATCCAAGGAGTGGCTCATATACTAAGGTAACCGTCCCGGGGATGGGGAGACTCGAAGAGAAAAGAGCGGATGAGGGGGCCTCCTGGGGGGGGGTGGTTCTCCATAAGGATTACCCGGCAAACTAGTCGTCCTCCCGCGCTGTTGAACCGCAGCTGGCAGAGCCTCCCAGGCGTCTCTCGCTGGGCTGGGCAGGCTCGGCTGGCTCGGCGCCACATCCGGGCAGCTACCGAGTCCCGCCCCCGTCGTCGGACGCAGTCTCCCTCCGGTGCCCCGCGACCTCCTGGGAAATGGAGTTCTAGTGCCCGCCGCGTGCTCTGCAAGTCGTTGGCTTCTAAACTACACCTTTGGGTAATCAAGGATCTCTGGGGTCCCAGTTCCTCGGTTCGGAGGTCCCCGAGCTTCACATTTCCCGTGACAAAGTGAGGCCGCTTCCTCCTCCCCGGACCGCTGTTTTCTCCTCAAGACAAATATTAACATAAAGAGGCAGTCAGGGAACTGAAAAAGTGTTAGTAAAAACGGAGGCGATAAAAGAAAATGTGGTAGTGAGTTAAGGTAGCTGTCACCATATATTAGTTTGCATTTTCTAGAGTTTTATATAAATGAAATCATACAGTATGCACTTTTTTTAACAGCTTTATTGAGATATAAATTCACATACCATACAATTCACTCACTTAAATTGTACAATTCAATAGTTTTTGATATATTACATTATTAATTTTTAAAAATAGTAGTAAATATATATAACAAAATTTGCCATTTCAACCATTTTTAAGTGTACAATCCAGTGGCGTTAAGTACATTCGCAATGTTGTGGAACCATCACCCTTGTCTATTTCTGAAACTTTTTCATCACCCCGAATAGAAACTCTGTACCCACTAAACAATAGCGGCTCATTCCCCTCTTCCCACAGCCCCTGAAAACCAACCTCTAATCCACTTTCTGTCTCCATGAATTCGACTTGTCTAGCTACTATTCATCTATTGATGGACATTTGGATTGTTTCCAACTTTTGACTATTGTGAATAATGCTGCAATGAACACTGGTGTACAAGAATATGGTTTTGTTGATTTTTCTCTATTGTTTGTTTTCTATCTCACTGATTTCCACTTTGATCTTCATTATTTTTGTTCTTTGAGTTTTATTTGCTCTTCTTTTTACTGAAGTGAAAGCTGAAGCTATTGTTTTGAGACTTCCTTCTGTTCTGATATAGGTGTTTAGTGCTTAAAAATTACCCTGTAACTATTGTTTCAGCAGAATGTCATGAATTATATGGTGTGGTTTCATTTTCATTCAGTTCAAAATATGTTCTAATTTCTTTTTTGATTTCTTCTTTGTCCCATGTGTTGTCTAGAAGTGGATTAGTTTTCAAATATTTGAGGATTTTCCAGAGATGTTTCTGTTATTGATAGGTAATTTAAATTCCATTATTCATATTTTGTGTGACTTGAATCCTTTCAAATTCATTGAGACTTGTTTTGTGGCCTAGAATATAGCCTATCCTGGTAAATACTCCATGTACACTTGACAAGAATGTGTACTTTGCTGCTATTGGGTGGACTGTTCTATAAATGTCAACCAGGTCAATTTGGTTGATAGTGTTATTTACTTCTATATCCTTGCTCATTTTATGCCTACTCGTTCTATCAGTTATTAAGAGTATTGAAATCTCTGACTTGAATTGTGGATTTGTTTATTTCTCTTTGCAAGTTTATCAGTTTTTGATTCATGGATTTTTTTTTTTTTTTTTTTGGCCATGCCACTCAACATGTGAGATCTTAGTTCCCGGACCAGGGATCGAACCCGCACCCCCTGCAGTGGAAGCGCAGAGTCATAACCACTGGACAACCAGGGAAGTCCATGATTCACATATTTTGTAGGTCTTATATTAGATGCACAAGCGTTTAGAATTGTTATGTCCTCTTCATTAATTGACCCCTCTATCATTATGAAATTACCTTCTTTATTCATGGTATCTTTGCTCTGAAATCTACTTTGTCCAATATTAATATAGCCCCTCCAGCTTTCTTTTGACTAGTGTTATCATGGTACATCTTTTTTTTTACATACTTTTACTTTTAACCTATTTGTGTCTTTGTATTTAAGGAGTATTTTTTGTAGGAAGCATACGGTTGGGTCTTGCTTTTTTTACCCAATCTGATCATCTTTACCCTGTAACTGGGGTGTTTAGACCATCTACATTTAACGTGATTGTTGATTTGTGATTGTTAGGTTTGAGTCTGTCATCTTGCTATTTGTTTTCTATTTGCCCCATCTCTTCTTTGTTCTCTTTTTCTGCCCTCTTTTGGATTAATCAATATTATTATTATTATTATTATTTTTTTAATCAATATTATTTTTATTCCATTTAATCTCCTTTGTTGGCTTATTGGCTATACCCTCCCCCTTTTTTTGGGGGGGGGCACATCGAGCGGCATGTGGGATCTTAGTTCCCCAACCAGGGATCAAGCTCGCGCCCCCTGCATTGGAAGCATGGAGTCTTAACCACTGGGCAATCAGGGAAGTCCCTAGCTATACCTCTTTGTTTTTTTATTTTAGTGGTTGCTTAAAGGTTGATAGTGTACATCTATAAGTTATCAGTTTACCTTTAAGTGTTTATTATACCACTTCACAAACAGTATAAGAACCTTACATTATTATACTTCCATTCTCTCTTCCTGGACCGCTCGTTATGCATTCTACTTTTATCTCATGATACATTGTTATTATTTTTGTTTAAACAGTTATTTTTTTTTATTTTATTGTTTTTGGCTGCGTTGGGTCTTCATTGCTGTGCTCGGCCTTTCTCTAGTTGCAGCGAGCCAGTGCTACTCTTCGTTGCGGTGCACCGGCTTCTCATTGTGGTGGCTTCTCTTGTTGCAGAGCACAGGCTCTAGGCGCCCTGGCTTCAGTAGTTGTGGCACGTGGGCTCAGTAGTTGTGGCTCGCGGGCTCTAGAGCGCAGGCTCAGTAGTTGTGGCGCACAGGCTTCGTTGCTCCGTGGCATGTGGGATCTTCCCCGACCAGGGCTTGAACCCGTGTCCCCTGCATTGGCAGGCGGATTCTTAACCACTGTGCCACCAGGGAAGCCCTAAATAGTTACTTTTTAATACTGCATTATTTAGAGCAGTTTCAGGGTCACAGCAAAATTGAGCGGAAGGTAGAGAGTTCCCATGATATGTCTGTTACAATCAACAAACCTACATTGGCACATCATTATCATCCAAAGTCCACAGTTTACCTTAGGATTTATTCTTGGAGTTGTGCATTCTACGAGTTTTAACAAATGTATTCACCATTATAGTATTATACAGAATAGTTTCACTGCCCTAAAAATCCTCTGTGGCCTGCCTATGCATCCCTCCCTCCCTCCTAACCCCTGGCAGCCACTGATCTTTTTACTGTCTCTTAGTTTTGCCTTTTCTAGAATGCTATATAGTTGTAATCAATCTTTAGCCTTTTCAAATTGGCTTCTTTCACTTAGTAATATGCATTTGAATTTCATCCGTGGCTTTTCATGGCTTTATAGCTCATTTCTTCTTTTTTAAAAATAGAGTTTATTTTTCAGAGTAGTTTTAAATTCAAATCAAAATTGAGCTGAAAATAGAGAGTTCCCATATATTCCCTGCCCTCTCACATGTACAACCTCCCCCATGATCAACATCCTACACTAGAGTGGTACAGTTTTTACAATTGATAAACCTACACTGATACATTATTACTACCCAAAGTCCAGTTTGCATTAGAGTTCACTCTTGGTGGTGTACATTCTATGAGTTTTGACAACTGTATGATGACATGTATTCACCATTATAGTATCGTACAGAATAGTTTCACTGCCCTAAAAATCCTCTGTGGTCCACCTATTCATTCCCCTCTCCCCCCAGTATCTGACAACTACTGACCTTTTTATTGTCTCCATAGCTTTGCCTTAGTTGGAATCATACCATATGTAGCCTTTTCAGATTGGCTTCTTTCACTTAGTAATGTGCATTTGAGGTTCCTCCATGTCTTTTCCTGGCTTGATAGCTCATTTCTTTTTAGTGCTGAATAATATTTCATTGTCTGGATGTACCACAGTTTATCCATCTACCCACTGAAGGACATCTTGGTTGCTTCCAAGATTTGGCAATTATGAATAAAGCACTATAAACATCTAAGTGCAGGTTTTTGTGCAAACATAAGTTTTCAACTCATTTGGATAGACACCAAGGAGCGTGATTGCTGGACCATATGGTCAATTATCTTTTTAAAACAGCTTTATTGAAATACAATTTACATACCATAAATTCATTCACTTTAAGTATACAATTAAATGATTTTTAGTAAATTTACAACATTGTGCTACTATCATCACAATCTGATTTTTAAATTTTTTTTCATGTCTGGTTTTAAAACATTTCCGTCACCCCAAAAAGATCCTTCATGCCCAGTTACAGTCACTCCCTGTTCCCAACCCCCAGGCAACAACCACTAATCCACTTGTCTCTACAAAGTTGTCTTTCCTGACCATTTGACATGAATGGGATCACATAGTATATCATCTTTTTGTATTCGGTTTCTTCCACTTAGCGTAATGTTCTTGAGTTTCATCCACAATGTAGCATGTATCAGTATTTCATCCCTTTCTATTGCCAAATTATATTTTTACTTTTTAAATCAAATATATAGAGGTATAATTTATATACCACTAAATAAGCTCATTTTAAGTTTATAGCTTGATGACTTCTGACAAATGTATGTACCACGTAATTACTACCACAATCAAGACATACATTTCCATCACCCCCAAATAGTTCCCTTGTACCCCTTTGTAGTCAATCCTTACCACCCCTAGCCCCAGAGGACCACTGTTCTGCTTGCTGTCACTGAAGATTAATTATACCTTTCTAGAACTTCATATAAATGGAATCAGAGCATTTACTCTTTTGTGTCCTTTTTTTTTTTGGAATAGGATATCTCAGATAACTGAGCAACTGCTCCAGAGAAGCATGGTTTTCAGCACAGTTTTATATCTTGTCAGAACAAAGAACATCAAATAAGTCAGGGATACATTCCTTCAGAGTTTCAAAAAAAAGCAGATCAGTATATACACAGTGAGTCTCTATGGCCCTGGCACCTGGGAAGGGAGTCTTATCATCAAAGGAGTACTAGCACTGGTATCCCAAAAGGGAGGCATTTAATCTTTATTTTTAATATGGACATTATTTCTGGTCAGTGTACCCTTTTCTTTAA